TCTAGTCTCTCTCTGGTGTCTCTCTCTCTTTGTTCTCTCTGTCGTCTCCCTCTGGTCTCCCTCGCTCTAGTCTCTCTCTGGTGTCTCTCTCTCTTTGTTCTCTCTGTCGTCTCTCGCTGGTCTCCCTCGCTCTAGTCTCTCTCTGGTCTCCCTCCTTTGTCTCGCTCTAGTCTCTCTCTGTCTCTTTCTGTCTCTCACTCTAGTCTCTCTGTTCTCTCTGTCGTCTCTCGCTGGTCTCCCTCCTGTCCTCTGTCTCTCTCGTGGTCTCCCTCGCTCTAGTCTCTCTCTGGTGTCTCTCTCTCTTTGTTCTCTCTGTCGTCTCCCTCTGGTCTCCCTCGCTCTAGTCTCTCTCTGGTGTCTCTCTCTCTTTGTTCTCTCTGTCGTCTCCCCGTCTGGTCTCCCCTCGCTCTAGTCTCTCTCTGGTGTCTCTCTCTCTCTCTGTCGTCTCTCGCTGGTCTCCCTCGCTCTAGTCTCTTTCTGGTCTCCCTCACTCTAGTCTCTCTCTGGTCTCCCTCGCTCTAGTCTCTCTCTGGTGTCTCTCTCTCTCTCTGTTCTCTCTGTCGTCTCTCGCTGGTCTCCCCTCACTCTAGTCTCTCTCTGGTCTCCCTCGCTCTAGTCTCTCTCTGGTGTCTCTCTCTCTTTGTTCTCTCTGTCGTCTCCCTCTGGTCTCCCTCGCTCTAGTCTCTCTCTGGTGTCTCTCTCTCTCTTTGTTTCTCTGTCGTCTCTCCCTCTGGTCTCCCTCGCTCTAGTCTCTCTCTGGTGTCTCTCTCTGTTCTCTCTGTCGTCTCTCGCTGGTCTCCCTCGCTCTAGTCTCTTTCTGGTCTCCCTCACTCTAGTCTCTCTCTGGTCTCCCTCGCTCTAGTCTCTCTCTGGTGTCTCTCTCTCTCTCTGTTCTCTCTGTCGTCTCTCTCTGGTCTCCCTCGCTCTAGTCTCTCTCTGGTCTCCCTCGCTCTAGTCTCTCTCTGGTCTCCCTCGCTCTGGTGTCTCTCTCTCTCTGTTCTCTCTGTCGTCTCTCTCTGGTCTCCCTCTTTCTCGTCTCTCTCTGTTCAAAACAGATTTTCTAATTCCCTTTGAGAAAATGAGAACGCAATATATTGAGCTGAAAATAAATGGTTTTGTTTGGAAGTCGACAGAGCAGCGATGGAGAAACGTCTAAATTGCTGAAAGTTGTAATGAATTTTAAAAGTATGGCTCCAGCTTAAATAGCACTCACTCAGCAGCACAGCTTTTGATACCTCTCTGTTCTATCCAACTATAGTGGCAATGTATTTTAAAGCTGGGGTACGTAACTTTCAACCCACAACATATCAGTTAGCCACTCATCCTTAAATCTACTTTTCTCTACTCTGCATCTGCTCTACCTGATTGTGTTTCCATTACCTTTGGCAAACTGCCCACAACAGACCAGTATCCAGGGAAACTCCTTGGCAACCATGAGTAGAGTAGAGTAGAGTAAAGGAGAGTATAGTAGAGTGGAGGAAAGTACAGTAGAGTAGAGCGAATGAGCACAAGGGTTTATAATGCCCAGCCTTAATTTCTCACAGAGAGACCATTAGCATTAGCATTAGCATTAGCCTCTGTGGGTAGTGCTGTTAGCGCCTTAGCATTGGATCTATGGGGACTATCTTCAGGTCGTGGCAAAGTGACTTTCAGTTCTCTGCTTTTAAAGAACACATTATGCTAAACTTGAACCTTTAAATCATGTTAAATTAGTGTTTCCTCATAAAAAAGCAGACTTAGAGTAGATCATGGACTAGAATTTGGGACAATCTGTCAATGGAACTCTGGTCTCTCTCTTTCTCTTTTTCTCTCTTTCTGATCCTGGTCACTCAGGTCTGTATCTGGTCTCTGTTCTCCCTCTGGTCTATTTCTTGTCTCTGTTCTCTCTAGTTTTGCTCTGGTCTCTCGCATGTCTCTCTCTCTCTCTCTCTCTCTCTCTCTCTGTCTCTATCTGGTCTCTTGCTTGTCTCTGATTTCTCTTTCTAGTCTATGTCTCTGTTCTATCTGGTCTCTCTCTCTCTCTGGTCTCTCTGTTTTTTCTCATATTTTATTCCCTTGCATTGGAGGCTAAGGTAACATCCCAGACATCAACTGCCTTTCTCTCCCTCTCTCCTCGGCCTTGTGTCGGCCATCTTAACCTCACTACAGACTGGACCTTTGTGCTTTCGATCGATAGAATGTTGGGGACACGACTTGATAAGACGAGTATTGATTACTTCCACCGCCTCTGCTCCGCTCCGCGCTTTTCCACCACAATAACACTCTCTCCCTTTATCTGAGCAAGGACTCTCTGACATTGGCCAAATATTGATGCACGCTATTTCCACGGCCATTGAGAAAACTAAATATTACAGACCTCTCCTGTCTCAGTATAGTATTGAGCTTGAAGTTCCTCCGCATAATAACTCGGTCAGCATCTGGATTAAAGCTGGTCTGGACCAGGTCCGGATCAAGTCTAAGCCAAGTCTAAGCAGGTCTGGAACAGGTGCGGCTGGATCCATGCATAATTTTTGACCCTCATTATTTATTGTTCTCTCGAGGTATCTCTGTGTACAGACTTCACCTGCTCCGAACCAACAATACACACATATTAGCAATACAAACACACACGCATACACACACGCAAACACACACACGCACAAACACACACACAGACACACATATACACACACGCAAACACACACACACACACACACGCACACACACACATAAACACACACACACACACGCACACACACACACACATAAACACACACACATAAACACACACACACACGCACAAACACACACACACACATAAACATACACACACACACATAAACACACACACACACACACACACACACACAGACGCACACACCTCTTCTTTCCTGCGTTTTCAGCTTGTGTGCAGAAACTTAATGAACAGAATGAATCCTCTCCTTTTCCTTCGCCTCATGAAATATGGATGATACTCAACACTGCCGCTCTCTCAGTCCCTCCACAAACTAGACCAAAGAGTCAAATAGTGACTCACCGGGCACTGCCTCTTTAGACAAGAGAGAGACCAGAGAGAGACCAGAGAGAATATCCCGGGAGAGAAACCAGAAAGAGACCAGAGTTAGAGAAAAGAGAAAGACCAGAGAGACCAGAGAGACCAGAGAGAGGGACCAGAGAGAGACCAGAGAAAGAGAGTAGAGAGAGAGAGAGAGAGAGACCAGAGAGACCAGGGATAGACTAGAGAGAGACTAGAGAGAGACCAGAGAGAGACCAGAGAGAGACCAGAGAGAGACCAGAGAAAGAGAGACCAGAGAGAGAGAGACCAGAGAAAGAGAGACCAGAGAGACCAATGAGAGAAGGAGAAAGACCAGAGAGAGGGACCAGAGAAAGAGAGTCCAGAGAGAGACTAGAGAGAGACCAGAGAGATACTAGAGAGAGACCAGAGAGAGACCAGAGAGAGACTAGAGAGAGACCAGAGAGAGACTAGAGAGAGACTAGAGAGAGACCAGAGAGAGACTAGAGAGATACTAGAGAGAGACCAGAGAGAGACTAGAGAGAGACCAGAGAGACCAGGGAGAGACTAGAAAGAGACCAGAGAAAGAGAGGCAGAGAGGCCAGTGAGAGAAACCATGGAGAAAGACCAGAGAGTGGGACCAGAGGAAAACCAGAGCTTGATTGAGCTAGCAGGTTACCATTTCCCATTTTTATACAGTCTCCTTCCCTCAGTCTCTCAGATAATGATCCAAATCATGCGTAATAAAGATGAAGCATTAAAAGCAGAATATGAACTGGGCTCACGGCTTCAGTTCACACAATTCAACTATGTTTGTCATAAAAGGTCTGCGGTCAGAGATTGGAGCAGCCCTCAGCCCTGCATCAGTATGAATGAATGTGTTTCCATGATGTGATGTTGTTTTATCGCCTAGAATTCTTATCAAATGCACAAATATTAAGTTATGTGTTCTTTAAATGAACTTATACATAGAAGTTCTAATTGGCTGGAGTCTCTGATCGATGTTATTGATCTGCTGTTACCCAGAGTGCTTTGTTCTAAATGATGAGATGCAGGAAGCAAACACAGGAAAACAACCATTTATTTTGAATTTGCCCTGTTTCCACCAGCCCTACTCTACTCTACTCCATCTACTCAACTCTACCCTGTTGTATTTCCATTACACTTTAGTATCTAGTACCAAATCCTAGCGACAAATATTTTATGAATAGCAGTAAATGAAAAAAACCCCACAAAAACAACATAAAGCGCAGATAATAACCTGCATTTTATTTACTTTTTATTTAATTACAAAAGGAGCCAGAGCAATTGGAGCAAAACTTTGTCCATGAGCTCTTCCTGCATCTACAGCCTCAGTCCTGGATCTACAGCCTTATACGTAAATACATTGAATTGAATATATAGACCAGGGTGTCCAATGTGTTTAGTAAGACTGGGGCTCTCTTACAACCAGGTTCAACATTGGATTACACTGTGAACCGGTCTTCATGATCTTTAAGACTACTTTTGGTGTTAGCGAGGTAGAAGGCCAAATAAAACGACACATAGGCCGCAAGTGGCCCACGGGCCTTAGTTTGGACATGCCTGATATAGACAAACTGTTAGAGAATTTTAATGTTGTTATTCTGCAGCTCATAAAAACGGATTATTTACACACTTAATATTTTTCCTCTTGACATTTGAACCAGATCATCAATAATTTGGTCCAAAACAGCTGCAGGTCTCTATGGTTCCTTTGACTGTGTTTTTCAACCCAGGTCTCCTCTTTGAACCGTAGCACAAAACTAACTTGAAAACATCTCTACTCTAGCTCAAATCTGCTCTCCCATCTACAAACACACTCAAGTATCACCACGGTTGTGCAATTTATTTCCCTTTCCTTCTCAAAACACGATCAAAGCAACACTAGCGGCAAACGCGCGGCATACTCAGGTGCAATCCCTATGGCGCCGCGCGGTAAGGGCACGGCACCGCGTCAAAAAAGCTTCCGAGCGGCGTCCGCACTTACGTCTCTGAAGCGGTCCCAGTGCCGCGTCTTCCTCCCGTGATGAGGCGACATCCATGGCCGATCCTCCGCGTAATTCCTGGGTTCTTTCCCCTCACTTTTGGAATCGATTTGTAGCGAGAGTCCGGCGAGGAGAAGGAACAAACACGCGATGCGGACCAAGGCCATGTCTGAGCGGGAGTTCGGAGGTGGGGACGCGGTGATGGAGATGCAGGTTTCGGCTGGAGGTGTTTGGAGAGAGCGGGATGTGGCCACGTCTCTGGGCTGGAGGGGAGTGAGAAGGATGCAGCGAGAGGAGAAAGAGAGAGAGAGAGAGAGAGAGAGAGGGGGGGGGGGGGGGGGGGGGGGGGGAGGGGAGGGGAGATGGAGTGTTGTGGATACAGAGATAAGAGCCATGAATGAGATTTTGATGAATGAAGGAGTCCTGTTTTAAACCCATTCAGTCCTGGTTCCGTCCTGGTTTAGACCAAGTTTATACCTATTGTTTAGACCTGATATGGACCAAGTTCAGTCCTGGTTCAGTCCTGGTTTAATCCTGGTTCCGTCCTGGTTCAGTCCTGGTTTAGTCCTGGTTCAGCCCTTGTTCAGTCCTGGTTTAGTCCTGGTTCAGCCCTTGTTCAGTCCTTGTTTAGTCCTGGTTCAGTCCCAGCTGTCCCTCAAGTCTCTTTTCTAGATACTTAGAAGTAAAGTCATTTTGAATGAACTAAAATACTTTTTGCCATCATTGTGTTCAGAACCAGCACCAGTTTAGAGACGTGGCTCATGAACTTCTCGAACCCTGCACTTCAGGATCCTTCATGGTCCAGATGGTTCACAATCTTGTCAGCCTTGGAATCTATTCCCTGAATCAGAGAAAATATCAGTGTTTGTTTTTTCATACTGGATCTCTCTCTCAGGTCTCTCTTGATCTCTTTCTGGTCTCTCTTGATCTCTCTGATTTCTTTCTCTGTTTTTTCTCTCTCGGGTCTCTCTCTGCCTCTCTGGTATCTCTCTCTCTCTCTCTGGTCTCTCTGTGGAGTTCACATGTTCTCCCCCGTCTGCGTAGGTTTCCTCCGGGGGCTACGGCTTCCCTTACCACTAAAAGCATTCAACAAATTCTGTGTTTCTGTAACTATTTTACATCTTTCATTTAAATGTGCTCGTGTGTGCGTGTGCCAGAGAGAGAGACCAGATGAGACCAGAGAGAGACCAGAGAGAGACCAGGGAGAGAACAGGGAGAGACTAGAGAGACCAGAGAGAGACCAGGTAGAGACCAGAGAGAGAGACCAGAGAGATCCAGGGAGGGACTAATCACCACGGACCCATCTACAGAGGCCATTCATGCTCCACACGCAGAGGAGGACTGTAGACCTGGTTCAGACCTGGTACAGGCTCTGCTTGGTCAGGACTATCGCAGCTGGAGGATTTAACTTAGTGTGAATGTTTCAGTGGGAAACCGGAGCACCCGGAGGAAACCTACGCAGGCACAGGAACATGCCAACTTCACTCAGAAAGACCCAGTTCTGACCGGGATACGAACCCAGGAGCTTCTTGCTGAGAAGTCAGAGTGCTGACCACTCAGCCACCGTGCCAAGGTATCTGTCATGTTATACTGGCGGCTGTATGATGTTTTTGGAGTATACACAGGCCTCTCCCTCTCTCTCTCTCTCTTTTACGCACCACTAACTCTTTAAACTCTTTCATGAAGAGAGTTCTGAGCTCTCCCTTGTTCAGCCTCTTGTCTGGTCCAGCATTCTCGTTGAACACTCCGATCATCAGCCCGATCGCATCTTGCAGGTTACTCATGATGTCGCGTTTGCCTGAAGAAAAACAAGAAACCTATAAAACTATACAGACCTGGTTTAGAACTGGTTTAGACCTGGTTTAGACCTGGTTTAGACCTGGATTGGACCTGGTTCAGTTTAGACCTGTTTAGATCTAGTTTAGACCTAGTTTACACCTGGTTCAGTCCTGGTTTAGACCTCTTTAAGACTTGGTTGAGACCTGATTGAGCCCTGTTTCAGACCTGTTTGGGACCTGATTGAGCCCCGTTTCAGACCTGGTTGAGACTGGTTGAGACCTGGTTTCAGTTTTTGGACTCAAAAACAATGATCTGATACATATACAGTGAATTTAAAACAGACGTAACTGAGAAAAACAACTGTGTGATGCAAATGAGGCGAACAACATGTTTTTAATATTCAAAACCAGAAGAAGAGGCCATTCATACTCCACACGCAAAGGAGGACTCTAGACCTGGGACAGACCTGGTTCAGACCTGGTACAGACTCAGTTTAGACTTGGTTTTGTCCTGGTTTAGACCCTTTGTGACCCTAACTCCATCCCATGGGACAACAAATGAAGGCCTGAGACCAGAGAGAGACCAGAGCGACCAGAGAGACCAGAGAGAGACCAGAGCGACCAGATAGAGACCAGAGATAAACCAGAGAGACCAGAGAGACCAGAGAGACCAGAGAGAGACCAGAGATAAACCAGAGAGACCAGAGAGACCAGAGAGAGACCAGAGATAAACCAGAGAGACCAGAGAGACCAGAGAGAGACCAGAGATAAACCAGAGAGACACACACAGAATAATCGGACATGTTCGCTCACTGTTTTTGCGATCATTTTGACCCCAAGGTCCAGTCCTGATTTAGACCTGGTTTAGTCCTGGCAAAGGATTCTGTCTCCCAGATCGAGAGAGAGGATCAGTGTCTTGTATGTCGTTCATTTTCTAATACCTGTTTCCACATTTCTTCTCTCTTCTACATTTTCTGACTATAAAACACAGATGTCACTGGTTTGATGTAAATGAAGTGAACAAAGAGCGATTCAGATTCAGGTGAGGCCGTGATGTTTTTAATATTCAAAACATGAAGAAGAGGCTATTCATGATCCACACGCAGAGGGCGGACTGTAGACCTGGTCAAGACCTGGTCCAGACCTGGTTCAGCCCTTGTTCAGACCTGGTTCAGACCCGGTTTTGACATATTCTGCGAGCAAAGAGGGCGGACTTCAGACTTGACCTGGTTTAGTCTCGGTTCATCCTGGTTGTGTCCTATTCATAATCCACACCCAGAGGCTGAGAGAGTAGACTTTAAAAAGGTGAGTTTAGACCTGTTTCAGACCTAGTTCGGAACAGGGCTTCTGAGTGGTGTTTGCATGTTTTCCCCGTGTCTGTGTAGGTTTCCTCTGGGTGCTCCGGTTTCCCCTACCACTAAAAACATGTACAATAGGTGAATGTGAATGAGAGAGTAAATGGATGGTGTTGATTGTGGGCTTTGATGCTCCAGTGTGCTTTGGGTGACCTTGGTCTGTGAAATGCACTACACATTCAGTCTCAGTTTGGATCTGCATTAGTTCTGCATGGGGTTGACCTGTTTTAGTCCTGGTTCAGACCTGGTTTAGACCTGGTTTAGTCCTGGTCTGTTCCTGGTTCAGGCTCAGTTCAGTCCTGGTTTAGACCTACTTAAGACATAATCAACAAGCAAAGAGGGCAGACTTCAGTCCTGGTTCAGACCTGGTTTTGTCTTGGTTTAGCCCTGATTTATCCATCCATCCATCCATCCATTTTCTACCCTTTAATCCATTTCTGGGTCAGGGGGGTCGCAGTCAGAGATGCCACCCAAGTCTCATAGCAGCAGCCCCTCACTGACCCTCTGCAGGTGGTGAGTCCACAGGAGGACGGCTGCTCTCTGAGTGTGAGCATAGCCTTGATCTCTCAGTGGGGGCTTTTGGGCAAAGTGGGGTTAAGTGTCTTGCCCAAGGACACAACGACAGCAGTCATCAGTGGGAGTCGGTGGAGAAGGTGTAGAGGTGGTAGAGCCCTGATTTAGTCCTATTCAAAATCCACACACAGAGGCTGAGAGAGCAGACTTTAAAAGGTGAGTTTAGACCTGGTTCAGTCTCAGGTCAGGTCTGGTCCTGTCCTGGTTTAGTCCTGGGGTTGACCTGTTTTAGTCCTGGATTAGACCTAGTTTATTCCTGGTTTAGTCCTGGTTTAGCCTTGGTTTACACCTGGTTTGGACCTGATTTAGACCTGGGTTCACTTCTCAGACGTTTGTGTTTTCAGGTGGAGATGCATCAGATGCTGCTGCTCTCTCTGCTGCTGAGTGAGTTTCAGAGACTTTTTGACCATTTTTCTTCTTGATGTATTTTAAAACAGCCTTTTTCTATCTTTATACAGTCTGTGTTAGCATTGTCCATCTGTATACAGTCTGTGTTAGCATTGTCCATCTGTATACAGTCTGTGTTAGCATTGTCCCTCTGTATACAGTCCGGGCTAGCTTACAGACAGTCTGATGGCTCGGTTCCTCACCTGCAGGTCAGTGGTCCCGGTCTGAGTCCCTGGACCCAGACTACACTGTGATTGTTGAGCCTAAGCCGTGGTCTGATGCTCAGGCTCACTGCAGACGGTTCTACTCAGACCTGGCCTCCGTGAGAGACATGAAGGACCAGCGGAGACTGGAGAGGGTGCTGGACGGAATCACGGATGTCTGGATCGGACTCCATCGGACCAGTGACCAACTCAAGGACAGGAAGTGGCACTGGTCCGAGCCCACGGTCACATATAAAGAGGCAGACGCTCAGTGGGGAATACTGGAACCTGATGATTATAGAGGCCCTCAGAACTGTGTGGTGATTAATCTATGGAACAACTGGAACGATAAATCCTGTAGTGAAAAATACGACTGTTTTGTGTGCTACAACGGTGAGGACACAGTTTTTACTTCAATAATTCACAAATCAAACTTATTTCAACTTTCAACGATTTTTACAATTTCTCCATATTAACAAAACATGTTAACCTATAACAAATGTGTCCTTTCTATGCATATTTACCCACTCCCTCTTTTTAAATCGTTGTCATGTCCATGAGAGCTGGATAACTGTTCATGTCAATGTGCCATCTGGAAATACAGTGGTGGATAAGGAACTACAGTGGGCGACAGTGGCTCAATTGGTAGAGCAGTGGCCTTTGGGCCTGGAGGTCGTGGGTTTGAGCCCACCATGAGAATTCCTGCAAGACTCCAACTGATGTCTGCTGTCGTTGTGTCCTTGGGCAAGACACTTAACCCCACTTTGCCTGAAGCCTCCGCTGAAAGATCAAGGCTCATGTGGACTCACCACTTGCAGGAGGATCAGTGAGGGGCTACAGTATGTGTACTGGGTGCAGCTCTGACTGCCACCCCCCGACCCAGACCACAGTTATGTAAAAGAATGACCTGAAAAGTATTTAGTTAGATTTTAGTTCAATTAAGCAAAAATCTAGAAATCTGTCATAACAGCAAAGGTGTGAACGTCGCAAACATCACGCACTGAGAGGCAGAGTTAAAAAGCCTGTTCTCCCTGGACTATAGCCACTTTGTGTGGCAATTTGTCTTTGAAAAACTCGTAATTTATGATTCACTCACCGGGCTCCTACCTCCAGGGTTGATGTTGACTGTTGCCTTCTCTGTATTAAAACATTTGCTGAAGTCAAAGAGCGTAGGGACTGCAGTTTCTTTCAGCTAATTCTATGGCTTCGATCCCATCAATTCCAACTTTAAATCTCTTTCAAAACAGTGTTTCTCGAAATGTTCACTACACACTTTTGAGTGTTCATTTACAGGCGGATTCTTCAACTTCATTTTACTTAGCCATTTACCAAAGCGCTCCTTATTTTTCAGTGAAAGTCCGTGGTAGCTTTCACTCTTTTTTTGGTTAGCTTCATTGCTGCATCCCAAGGCCATACAAAATACTTCCATTTTAAGGAAATCCTTCTTTGCTCTCTACCATCTTATTTGTGTCACAGCAGAAGCACTGTTGTAAACATTAAAGCTGCACTGACTGATTTTTGTATTTATTACGAAAGTGCTACCCATGTCCATGTAGTGCAGTGGGATATACGTCCTTCTGAAGAAAAAGTAGCGCAGATTTGTGCTGGCGTGACATTATATTTTAGATCGAGTTTTGATGAAACAAGGAAGAGAATGTGTTTCGGGTCGCAGATTGCGACCAATCACAGCGCACCACTGGCCCCCACTTTCTTGAGAAATCTACTGGTCCGTCGTTAGCATAGACGGCTGAGTTAGTACAACAAGCGGCGGAGCTAACCTGAAGCTTTCTTGTCTTCGTCACGGGGGGCGATAGCTTGGTGGGTGCAGGGAGGGGAGCAGAAAGAGCGAGGCCAGCGTGTCCGCTGCTTCGAAATCCCAAAGTCAGTTAGTGCAGCTTTAAGGCAGCTTCGACCCCTAAAATAGTGTCAATTTTCTGACCAATCAGAGGCATTCATATTATAACAGTATTTTACTGATTTTGTAATTATCAATAACACAAAAACACATTGCTGAGGTGCGACAGTAGCTCAGTTGGTAGAGCATTGGCCTTAAGGCCAGAAGGTCGTGGGTTCATTTCCCACCTCTGCACCTTCTCCACCGACTCCCACTGATGACTGCTGTCGTTGTGTCCTTGGGCAAGACACTTAACCCCACTTTGCCCAAAGCCCCCACTGAAAGATCAAGGCTATGCTCACAGTCAGAGAGCAGCCGTCCTCCTGTGGACTCACCACCTGCAGAGGGTCAGTGAGGGGCTGGTGCTATGAGACTTGGGTGGCATCTCTGACTGCCACCCCCCTGACCCAGAAATGGATTAAAGGGTAGAAAATGGATGGATGGATGGACATTGCTGAGGTGAAAAATGCATGTGTTTAATGCGTTTTTCAAAAAAAATGTTTTCAATAAAAGGTTCACACTGACAGTGATGAGAACGAGGCAGAATCTGCAACGACCTGCTCCGAGCGCAGTCCAACTTCTTATGGTGCGTTCAGACCAAACGCACCATTACCGAGAGGACGCGGTGCCGTGGTGAAAGCTAATAGTAATCTGAGCTAATTTATCATCGTGGTTCAAAGCTCCCACATATTTCCCCTTCCTCGCTTTACACCGCGTTTGTAAAACTATATGTTATAATAGATCCATGGTAAAACACCATCAGAGCCTCTGTGCAGCACGTGCCACTTCAAAACGTGGACTTTGTTTGCATGTCGCCTCCACACACGTGTGTGAAGGCACATTTGTGGCACGGTAGTGTTTGGAGAGATCCAGTCATTTATCAAACTAAAGGATTCTATTCTTAGTGAATGATCAGGGTCTGGACCAATGTCCAACATGACATAAGGTTCTCGAAGGCTTCCGTAGTGTTGGTGGTAGAAGTAAACTTGTAATATATGATCTCAACACTACATGGGAGTAATAACTACACAGTGTACCTTAAACGATTATTCACTGTTAAAGGAGCAGTATGTACAAATCTGGCTTAAAGAGGTACTGCACTCTCCCTGACTCAGGTTGCCAGATATGCAGACGAATCCAGCTGGGAACAATATCTGATTACGTAAGAGTTTTGTCAAAAACAAATCTATAACCAACGCCTTTTTCACAAAGGCCCAGATAGAATCCTAGTTTTATTCCTTGTTTTGTCATTAATGATTGTAAAAATGTAATGGGACCTATTTTAGTTCTGCGGCGACATGTTACATTTCCAGTGAGATATCATTAGCTCGACGTGGTGAATTCTGGCAACCTGGATAACAGACTTTCTGATTGGTAAAACATTGGAGGGCGCAGTGTTGCCAACTTAGCGACTTTGTCGCTAGATTTAGCGACTTTTCAGACCCCTATAGCGACTTTTTTTCAAAAAAGCGACTAGCGACAAATCTAGCGACTTTTTCTGGTGTTATTGGAGACTTATCTGGTGTTTTGGAGACTCTGGCGTGAAGCATGTTGTTAGGATTTAGCAGACAGAGACGGATCGTGGTGTGCCAAACTCTGGAAGTTTATTTAAGTTGCTCTCAAGTTCCACTGGTTTACTCTGTTTCTTTCTCTCAGACAGAATAAAGGCAGTACACAGTTTATATAGTCATTGTCACGTCACACATCGAAAGACATACGTGTCACAAAGAGACAGTCACATCATAGTCATAACATGGAGTCCTTGTAGAGTCCTTGTACAGTCCTGCACGTAGGCCATATAGCTATCTAATACTAATACCCTCCCCTTTGATCACATAATCACATGTGATCACTCAAATCGATCAATCAATAAAATGGAAAAAGAAAAGAAAAAAAAAAATTCAAAAAAAAAAACTTCAAAAAATTATTAAAAACAAAGAAAATGTATGCATTAAACTCATAATCATCAAATCAATATCAGTGGATTTTATCCTCTATCCTGGGAAAAAACAAAACAAACAAAAATAAAGTAAATAAACAAACAAAAAACAAATCAAAAATAAAAACAAACAAAAATAAAAACAAACAAAAACTATTGGACACACAAGAACTCAGCAGATTCAGTCAAAACACAGACAAAAACGAGCTGAGTCTCAATTTAGAAGCTAATTTCACTTTTATTACTCTATACTTTTATTCTAATGCTGATTGTTTATACTTCACTTATTTCACTTTATTATTTTCACTTATCAATCTTAGACTGTGTACTTTACTTTTACTATCACTATAGTTTAAAACTATTCTAATCTATTTACATAAATCTCTCTGTTCTGTGGTATTACACTCTCATTATCAGTGGCATATTATCAGTGGGATTTTGCTCCATGTCTACTCTCATTCTCAGGAATAAAACTGTGAACACAGTAAGGCAAATGGTCAACATTTACACTTCTATAGTGGTCAGTGATTTATTACTTTTTATTATCTAAAGATATTATTGTCAGGCAGTTTGGGATGAATGTACATCATTAATCAAATTAGTATTATCCTAATAGTAGCTAATTAGGTTTGGGGTTGGGGTCAGTTATTCTACAATGGTGTTTGTGCTGGAAACTTCTCAAAGATATCCAAATATCTACTATTGTGTTTTTGTGCTACACCCAAATGCATCAAAATGCTTTTAAATGCTTTTGAATCTCTGTTGGTTGTAATCTATCTCATTAATCTAGGCATTAATCTAGGCTACACTCATATGGACTTGTGCATTGTCAACATTCACAGATGTTTGAACACAAGTGAATTTGACAAGTATCTAATAAAACTGTACATAAAACTGTAAGTAACTTTATCTACTTTTGAAGTAAATGCTTGTGAAATGGTCCCTTTACCATTTGATATTAGCACTGGCTACAAATAATCTCTATTTTTGAAAGCATCTATGGTTGATGCATTTATCTATCTCTATTTTTACACTATTGTGACTCCAAAGTTTGGCTGCAGTTTGAGCCAAGGCATATTCCTAATTTGTGACTTCTGTCACTTTTAATGGCTGTGACATAACTCTGATTCTAATATTATAGCTGATCTATCAAAAGGATAACATTGTAGGGTACTATTTTAACTCTTACGTGGAAATGTGTTTATGAAAAACAAAGGAAGTCAAATTCTACTCTTTTACTACTATTTAACATCTACTAAAACGCTACAATACTTATACTTTATCATTTTCAAAGTTTTTGTCTGTCAGATGTCTGAATACTTAACATGTATATTGCATTTGTCACAGTTTCTGGTTGTAGCAATAGCATCAGCAATAGACGTTTTTCATTGGCTGGTTCTTGTTCTGCAAATGGCTGTGTCCAATAGATCATCAGATGTCCAGAAGCTAGGGACAAACAAAAACAAAAGAAAGAATCATGAGTATCTCTCTCATTTAGCACTCATCAATGTATGATTTCAAAAATATAAACATCACTCCCCAGTTTTTCTCTCCAAGGTCCTCAGGTCCTCAGGTCCTCAGGGTCCCCTGAGGGTGAGTCTCAGTCGTCATCAGGTCAGGTCATAGAGAGAGATGTCATCTTGGACATCAGTAGGGTCCAAGCCATGGTTTTGGTCTCCAGATGCACATCAGATCTCCAGATACAGTCTTTTCACTCGAAGCACATCAGGTCATTTGCGATGCACTTCTGGTCAATGGTGCAGTGTCTCAGTTCCTGTACACAGCTTGTAATGCAATAGTTACTCTCTATGGTTAAATCACTTTGATTCTACTTTAACACAATTTCTCTTCATGCTGTTGCTTCTGTCCCTCAGACAAAAAGCAAGCGCAGTGATTCAGTTTACTTCTCTAATTTGTGTTTTTATCAGATCTAATTCTAATCAATGTAATTACTTCACACAGTACAAAATCAACAAATCAAAAGTGTCAGGACAGACGTCAATTAAGTCCATGACAATATAGAATTCAAATGAACATTTCTGGTCTCAAAAAATACTGATTCAACTAAAGATTCAAGTGATAGACAATTAAAAATATGTGTTTACATTGGAGTAAACTTTTAAAATGCTTTTTCCTCATGTTCTGCTTTTTCATGTATCTATATGTAAATGTGAATGTGTGAGTGTATGTGTGTGTATGTGTGTGTGTATATGAATTTTGGGGTTGTGTCTCAAGACTCCACGAACCACCTGTAGGTCTCAAAGGTCACACTGTGGTGATGTAAACCACGTAGACACACTTTCAACTCCCTCTAGGTCTCTACCTGACGCTCCACCCATCACGTCTCCAGATACCTCTCTTTCATGGCCCCGGTCTCTCTCACACCCACTCAGTTCTGCAGTGGCGTGGGGAGGGGCAAGGAGGTGGCATTTTCCTTTGCTCTTTGATCTGTGACCTGTGGCTGGGTGGGCTTTGCGCTGTCCAGTGTCCAGCAGTGACCTCTCGTACAGTGAGGCAGAGTCTGAAAAACAATCCTTGAGACGGCCAATTTAAAAACAATAGATATCAGTATGCGAATGAGATTGTTTTTCTCCCTAAAGTCAAAACAATTTTGAGATTACTTATTATCTTACTAATGATGACATTTTTAAGACCAGAAACTAAAGAAGTTATCAAAACAACAATTATACTCAAAACAAACAACCTTTTAAACTTTAAAACATGTATTATATACTTTTGTACTGTGTGTTTAATTATCTATGCATTTATCTCAGCATATATTTTACTAATTTAAAATAATTGCAGCATTTTTCAAATGAAGTCAGTATGAATTGGAGCACATTTTAGACCAGGCTCCTGTGCTGCGTGCATCTGCAGCAGGAGGAAGGTCAGGTGCATAGTCAAAACAAAAACAAAAGTCACCACTTGAATGTGAATTGGGTGAATTGGGTAGTTTAACTTAATAATACTTTTACAGCCTAATTCCCTCTTTCTTTTTAGATAAGTCTATAATCAATAATCACTTTTAACAGATTCTAATTTAAATGTTTGAAAAACGGCTTTTGTAACTAAAATAAAAAATACATGAAAAAATTCTCACAAACAGCTATGAAATATATCAGAGATACAATAATGGACTCACAAAATAAGCAGCAGATTTAAAAAGAAAAGCAAAGCTTTTTGTACTAATCTTTGGGTTTCAAAAACATACTAATTCAAAACTTCTATTCCCTAATGGTGTTTAAAAACGTTTAACTGTGTCATAACACAATGTTCAAATGGCAAATTTCGCAAATTTAACGGAATAACTACTATGAAAAGCCAAATTCCTAAAGCAGTAGCTTTGCTTCAGATTCACAGCCAGAGCAGCGAAGGAGGGGGCCGTTTCCCTGACAACGGCAGCAGATAGAGCGACGCACACACACAGGCAAAACGATACAGAAGAATAACTTTCAAGATTACTTTGTTAAGCGAATATAACTGATGTTGTTCTTTATACTTTTGTCATCCAAATCTAGAAGTGATCACTTTCCACACTAGTAACAAAAGGCACTCTTTAGTGTTTAACGTTTCCCTTTTTATAATTACTTTTAATTCACCATGGTTTCTCTCAAAGGGACTTTAACCCTGAAGCTTCTTCTCAAAGGGACTTTAACCCCGAGGCTTTTCTCAAAGGGACTTTAACCCCGAGACTTTCTCAAAGGGACTTTAACCCCGAGGCTCAAAGGGACTTTAACCCCGAGACTTTCTCAAAGGGACTTTAACCCCGAGGCTCAAAGGGACTTTAACCCCGAGACTTTCTCAAAGGGACTTTAACCCCGAGGCTCAAAGGGACTTTAACCCCGAGACTTTCTCAAAGGGACTTTAACCCCGAGGCTCAAAGGGACTTTAACCCCGAGACTTCTTCTCAAATACAATTTAGAGAGTTTGACAGACCCCAAAAACACACCAAAATTTAGCTAATATCCAATTATGCAGACTTTACATATAAAAAGGTGTCTGCTTACCTTATTCTTGTCAAACCGGTTCCAAGGACTGTCCGAGAGGTCTGCCAACTCTTTTCCGCGTCGGAATATTCAATTTAAACACAAAACAGAGAAAGTGAGGGAGCAAGAGCAAGCCCATCCAAAAGCGAGCCCTTTCAGCGTCGCTGGGATTTCTCCCCTTCCAGATAACGTGCTGTCGCTCCCACACGCCGAAAAAAAGAAACAGGGAAAACTCCCTCAAAACAATCCAGAGAATGGCACACACTGAGCCGCGCATTCTCCACCAAATCTGTAAGGATTTAAGCAGACAGAGACGGATCGTGGTGTGCCAAACTCTGGAAGTTTTATTTAAGTTGCTCTCAAGTTCCACTGGTTTACTCTGTTTCTTTCTCTCAGACAGAATAAAGGCAGTACACAGTTTATATAGTCATTGTCACGTCACACATCGAAAGACATACGTGTCACAAAGAGACAGTCACATCATAGTCATAACATGGAGTCCTTGTAGAGTCCTTGTACAGTCCTGCACGTAGGCCATATTGCTATCTAATACTAATAATGTATTGTTCTGCAGTTACTGTCCTCAACGTGAGCCCCTCCCCCGTCCCAAAGCACTTACAGGCGGCCAGTCTCACAGTAGCCTCGCGCAGCAGTCCCAGCTACAGTCTATGGGCGGATCAGAGAGAGAGAGAGAGAGGAGACCCTGTCTCAAAAGCACAGGAAGTTTTCAGGCTGCTGCAGACTGAACTTCAGCTCCATCACCACCACACATGCAAAGCTCCCTGGCCACTCCTACCACCGCCACCCCCCCACTACCCCCCACCATCCGCGGCAGCTCTGTCCGTGACTCTGTTTTCTCTCAGTAGTGGGTCACATTAAATCATTTGTTATGCCAAACTATGAAAAAAAAAAAAAAACGTATAAAAATAAACCTAAGTAACTATGCCAGAGTGTGTCTTTTGGGTCACTTTGCCGGTCCCAAGCCCGGATAAAGGAGGAGGGTTGGTTGTAGAGCTAGCAATTTCACCCTACATAACAATCTTTTGATTACATTTGCTGTTATAACATTTAACAATACAGGACAAAACTGATGTGTGTAATGTGGATCTAGACAAAGCATTAAAATCATTAAATGTTGTTAATGTTGAAATTATTTTTGTACATTTGTAGTTCTAAACATATTTAGGGTGTTTTTTACTCACTTTTGTCTCTCCCACGACGTTATTCCTCTCTCCTACAGCGTCCGTTACAGTTATTTGCAAATTGCCAATTATGCAAATTAGGCGATGACGTCATTTAGCTACTTCTAGCGACTTTTGGGACAGCCAATAGCTACTTTCCTTACTGAGGAGTTGGCAACACTGGGAGGGCGGGACATTGAAATGAAAACAATAACAGAGAGAGAGAGAGAGAGAGAGAGAGAGAGAGAGAGAGAGAGAGAGAGAGAGAGAGAGAGAGAGAGAGAGAGACCAGAGAGAAACATAATGATATGTTGTTAAGTTTTGACAGATGTAGAATCTGACTTTTACCACTTACCATATAGTTACCAAGAGAGATGTTTCAACTGTCCTTTGTGACATAATCGCAGTATAACCTGTGTTTTCTAAATGAGTGCTTGATCTACAGAGTCCTCCAGCTCAGTCCAGATTCATGACGACAAAGGACGTAGCTGGTTGGAGGCTCAGCAATACTGCAGAAGACATCACACTGACCTGATGAGTGGACTGGACCAGCAGGAGCAGGTTGAGAAAGTAAAACCCTTTGGTAAATCATCTTGCTGGATTGGTCTGTTCCGGGACACCTGGGCCTGGTCCGATGAAAGCCCCTCCTCCTTCAGAAACTGGAACTCAGACTCAGCGATTAATCCTGAGACTGAGAAATGTGCCGCGGTGGGAGGAGATGGCGGATGGAAGAGCTCCGACTGTAGCCGAAAGAAAAGCTTTGTCTGTGCAGGAGGTGAGACGACATTATTATGATTTTTTATCTTTAAGGAAGCTAAAGACCTGAGGAGGACAGAAACACTGGTGGTTCAGAAAGGAGGGCTCTCAACAAGATGCTCTGCTCTGAAGGAGGGCCTGGTTAAGTCCTTAGGTAGACCTTGTTTGGTCCTAGTTTAGTACTGGTTCACACCTTGATTAGACCTGGTTCAGACCTGGTTCAGACCTGGTTTAGACCTGGATCAGACCTGGTTCAGACCTGGTTTAGACCTGTTTTAGACCAAGTTAAGTCGTTGTTCAGACCTGGGTAAATCCTAATTAAATCCTGGTTCAGTCCTGGCTCAGACCTGGTGCAGACCTGGTTAAATCCTGGTTCAGTCCTGGCTCAGACCTGGTGCAGACCTGGTTAAATCCTGGTTCAGACTTGGTTCAGACCATTAAAATCCCTCTGTCCCCAAAGGTAACCTGGTCCTGGTGAAGCAGAACAAAACCTGGGAGGAGGCCTTGATCTACTGCAGACAGAACCACCGGGACCTGGTCTGGAACATAGACACAGAGCCGTGGAAGACCCAGGTCCAGGACCAGGTCCGGAGGTCCGACAGTAAGTTGGTGTGGGTGGGTCTGCACTACGCCTGCTTCTTCGAGGCTTGGTTCTGGGTCAACGGACACTACGTTCCTGATGACCACAAGGACTGGAGGAAACCTGGAGAAGGCGACTGCGGAGACGTCGCAGCAGTGAAGAAGAACGGACAGTGGGTCAACAGGAAGTTTGAGGAGGAACACAACTTTATCTGTGTGCGTTCTTGCGGCTGTTGTCATGGAAACTGAATCTACCACAACAGGCGTCTCCAACACTAAAGTAAACGTTTAAAAAGTAAAAAGTAAATCTTGTAGTGCAATCTGAATGTATGATATTGTGTGGATAGAGAGAAAGAGAAGAGAGAGCTGAGAGAGACCCGAGAGAGACCAGAGAGAGAACTGAGAGAGAAGAGAGAGAACTGAGAGAGCAAAGAGAGAAGAGAGAAACCAAACATGTTCAGAGAGCACTTTCCAGATGTGGCTACCCCAAGTGGTCTTTTACTAAAGCCCAAAGGACGAGAAAGGCCAGAGACACAGTCCAACAGACAGAAGAAAGTAGGAGGAGAGGGGTGTCCTTACCGTATGTGGCGGGAGTTTCAGAGAAACTACAAAGAATCTTTAGGCAACACAAAATCCCTGTGTATTTCAAACCTTTCAACACGTTAAGACAGAAATTAGTGCATCCCAAAGACAAAACACCCAGACACAAACAGAGCAATGTGGTGTATTCAATTAAATGTAGTGAAGAGGAGTGCACTGACCACTATATTGGAGAAACCAAACAAACTCTACAGAAACGACTTCACCAACATCGTAGAGAAAACTCTAGTGGGCCACAGTCGGCTGTTCATCTCCACCTCAAGGCCTCCAACCACACGGTGGATGACACAGAGGTTAAAATTCTGGCTCGGGAGAAGAATTGGTTTGAGAGAGAGGTGAAAGAAGCCATTTTTGTGAGGAAACAAAAACCTTCTCTTAACAGAGGAGGAGGGTTAAGATTTGGTTTGCCTCGCATCTATGACGACATCCTAAAAACAACGCCCTAACTTGGGACAAGGTCAGTGACATGCTAATGAGTTAGGAGGGGTGAGACCTGCCCTCCACTTGAGCATCCCAGCAGACAATAGGTCTGTGACATGCTAAGGAGTTAGGGTCGTTAGCCTCAGCAGGGTCGTTAGACCTGCTCCCTTCTACATCAGACCTTAGATTGTTTATGAGTTAGTATCAGGATTAGGTTATAAATCTCCAACGCGCGGTCCGAGAATTCATTCCCTGAAGAAGTCCCCAGGTTGAGGACGAAACGTCGGGAAAACTTGCTAAGAAGTACAGATGATGGGTGAGAAACCTTCCTTTGCTTTGACTAATCCCTGTACGACTGAGAGTTTACACAAACTCAGAGAGAGAGTAGAGAGAGAACTGAAAGAGGCTGACCAGAGAGAGAGCAGAAAGAGACTTCTTTGAAACAGAGGGATTACTGTATTCCATAAATTATTCCATTTGTTTTTTTCTAAATGGTTGGATCTGGAGACGACAGTTGGAGACCCCTGGACAGTCACATATATAAACACATTTATTATTATCATTTTACTGGGGGTTTGGGTTTGGGTCTGTGTGGTGTGTGATTACTGAAGAAAAAATATTCAACATTTTTTAGCTTTATTAACGATGGAGCACCAGTGGCTCAGTTCTGCACCAACTCCCACTGATGTCTGCTGTCGTTGTGTCCTTGGGCCAGATACTTAACTCCACTTTGCCTGAAGCCCCCGCTGAAAGATCAAGGCTGTGCTCTCTCAGACAGCAGTGGGACTGTGATCCCCAGAAATGGACGAAGGGGAAGAAAATGGATGGAAATATAATCTTCAGTAGAAAATCTTTGGTAAAACACGTTTGAAGGGTTTAAAATGTTTTTCTCTTGAAATGAGAAATAACGTGGAGGAGGTTGATCCATGGATCCTACTGAGAAAGTCTCTGCTGCCATCTGGTGGACACCAGAGAGAGACCACTTATCTTGTGGTCTGCATTATTTATATATGACAAAAAATGAGGGTTTCTGATGTTGATGAGGCTGCATTAAAAGACAGGATTCTTGTGTAAAGTAAACATTTATGATAGTTGTGTTGGTGAGAAGCTGATGGCTGCGGCGGTGCAGTAGTATCCGGAACAATCTGAGGAGAATCTCTGAGACAGAAGCACAGAGTTCAGCTGCAGATCTCCAAAGTCAAACGAACCAAAGGTCTGCAACACAGACACACAACAGGAACCTGGTGAAACCTCCAAGATCAGGGGAGATATGTTTCCAAACATTTTCAAAAATATTTATCACAAAGTGAAACACAACATTTACTTCTGAGGTGAAGTATCAAATACATTTAATGTGTTCAAATGTGTATTGTTCTGTGTTTTATTTATTTATTGATTGACTGCGGAACCTTCCGCAGTCAACCATTGGTTTTCACGTTCTTTATTATTATTCCGTCTTTTTCCTGATTTTTGACACGTTTCACAGCTTTCACATTTTCAACAATTTCCACAAGTTATACATCAAAACGTTCCACATGTTTGGGAGATTATTGCTATTACTTTTGGGACTTCAGCGATTTCCGGTTTTTCCGCAATCGGACAAAAATCGGTCGATTTTTCCCATTGACTTATAATGGGGCTTCCACAAATTCATAGTTTTCAGAATTTTCTTCAACATTTTCAGCATTTTCTGCAGTTTGTGCATGTTCAGCTTCCACAACTTGTGAGTTTTCAGAAAAAAATAGAGTTCTGCAGTTTTCCAGTTTTTTTCTACGGGACTTGGGAATTCTGCCATTAATTTGCATTGAGAATTCTGCAATGCATTTTAATAGGCCCATGCATTTTAATAGGACTTCAGCTCTTTCAGACATTTCTACAGTTTCAATGATTCAACAGTTTCAAGGATTCAACAGTTTCAAGGATTCAACAGTTTCAAGGATTCAACAGTTTCAAGGACTTCAGCAGTTTCAAGATTTCAAGAGTTTCAAGGACTTCAACAGTTTCAAGGACTTCAGCAGTTTCAAGATTTCAAGAGTTTCAAGGACTTCAACAGTTTCAAGGACTTCAGCAGTTTCAAGGACTTCAGCAGTTTCAAGGATTCAACAGTTTCAAGGATTCAACAGTTTCAAGGACTTCAGCAGTTTCAAGATTTCAAGAGTTTCAAGGACTTCAACAGTTTCAAGGATTCAACAGTTTCAAGGACTTCAGCAGTTTCAAGATTTCAAGAGTTTCAAGGACTTCAACAGTTTCAAGGACTTCAACAGTTTCAAGGACTTCAACAGTTTCAAGGACTTCAACAGTTTCAAGGACTTCAACAGTTTCAAGGACTTCAACAGTTTCAAGGACTTCAACAGTTTCAAGGACTTCAACAGTTTCAAGGATTTCAGCAGTTTCAAGATTTCAAGAGTTTCAAGGACTTCAACAGTTTCAAGGACTTCAGCAGTTTCAAGGACTTCAGCAGTTTCAAGGACTTCAGCAGTTTCAAGGACTTCAGCAGTTTCAAGGACTTCAGCAGTTTCAAGGACTTCAGCAGTTTCAAGGACTTCAGCAGTTTCAAGGACTTCAGCAGTTTCAAGGACTTCAGCAGTTTCAAGGTTTCCACAGTTTCAAGGTTTCAACAGTTTCAAGGTTTCAACAGTTTCAAGGTTTCAACAGTTTCAAGGACTTCAACAGTTTCAAGGACTTCAACAGTTTCAAGGACTTCAACAGTTTCAAGGACTTCAACAGTTTCAAGGACTTCAACAGTTTCAAGGACTTCAACAGTTTCAAGGACTTCAACAGTTTCAAGGACTTCAGCAGTTTCAAGATTTCAAGAGTTTCAAGGACTTCAACAGTTTCAAGGACTTCAACAGTTTCAAGGACTTCAACAGTTTCAAGGACTTCAACAGTTTCAAGGACTTCAACAGTTTCAAGGACTTCAACAGTTTCAAGGACTTCAACAGTTTCAAGGACTTCAGCAGTTTCAAGATTTCAACAGTTTCAAGGACTTCAACAGTTTCAAGGACTTCAACAGTTTCAAGGACTTCAACAGTTTCAAGGACTTCAACAGTTTCAAGGACTTCAACAGTTTCAAGGACTTCAGCAGTTTCAAGATTTCAAGAGTTTCAAGGACTTCAACAGTTTCAAGATTTCAAGAGTTTCAAGGACTTCAACAGTTTCAAGGACTTCAGCAGTTTCAAGGACTTCAGCAGTTTCAAGGACTTCAGCAGTTTCAAGGACTTCAGCAGTTTCAAGGACTTCAGCAGTTTCAAGGACTTCAGCAGTTTCAAGGACTTCAGCAGTTTCAAGGTTTCCACAGTTTCAAGGTTTCAACAGTTTCAAGGTTTCAACAGTTTCAAGGTTTCAACAGTTTCAAGGACTTCAACAGTTTCAAGGACTTCAACAGTTTCAAGGTTTCAACAGTTTCAAGGACTTCAGCAGTTTCAAGGTTTCCACAGTTTCAAGGTTTCAACAGTTTCAAGGTTTCAACAGTTTCAAGGACTTCAACAGTTTCAAGGACTTCAACAGTTTCAAGGTTTCAACAGTTTCAAGGTTTCAACAGTTTCAAGGACTTCAGTGTAATCATGCAACCTAATAGGGATTTTTCCATGTAAACCAGTATAATGCAACTTAATAGGGTTTTTTCCATGTAAACCAGTATAATGCAACTTAATAGGGATTTTTCCATGTAAACCAGTATAATGCAACTTAATAGGGTTTTTTTCATGTAAACCAGTATAATGCAACTTAATGGGGATTTTTCCATGTAAACCAGTATTATGCAACTTAATAGGGATTTTTCCATGTAAACCAGTATAATGCAACTTAATAGGGTTTTTTTCATGTAAACCAGTATAATGCAACTAAATAGGGTTTTTACATGTAAACCAGTATAATGGAACTTAATAGGGGTTTTTACATGTAAACCAGTATAATGGAACTTAATAGGGATTTTACATGTAAACCAGTATAATGGAACTTAATAGGGGTTTTTACATGTAAACCAGTATAATGCCACTTAATAAGGATTTTTACATGTAAACCACTATAATGTAACCTAATAGGGGTTTTTACATGTAAACCAGTATAAAGCAACTTAATAGGGATTTGTACATGTAAACCAGTATAATGCAACCTAATAGGGATTTTTCCATGTAAACCAGTATAATGCAACTTAATAGAGATTTTTCCATGTAAACCAGTATAATGCAACTTAATAGGGATTTTTCCATGTAAACCAGTATAATGCAACCTAATAGGGATTTTTCCATGTAAACCAGTATAATGCAACCTAATAGGTTGCATTATACCACCAGACCAAGACCCAAACGAAGACTCAGACCACCACCAGATAATGACCACAGACCAGGTTTCCTTAGTTACAGGAACCAAATTGTTTCAGCGGTGAGGGGATTTTTCAGTTTCAAGGACACTTTCAATACATTCAGTAGTTTCAAGGATTTCAACTGTTTAAGAATTTAACCAGTTTCAAGGATATCAGGAGGTTCAAGGATTTCAGGAGTTTCCACACTTTCAACAGTTTCCAGGTTTAAAAAAGTTTCAAGGATTTCAGGAGTTTCAATGTTTCAACAGTTTCAAGGATTTCAGGAGTTTCAAATATCTATCAAGTATTTTAACAGTTTCAAGGCCTTTTAAAGGATTTCAAGGATTTTTTTTAGCAGATTTCTACATTAGATCTGTTCCGCAGTCAATCGCAATGGCTTCAGCCATTGCAAGTTTCTAGTTATTAATTTTGTTTCAAATATTTTAAACAATGATATTACATTTTGTTGAAATAATTTTTAAAGATGTTAAAATATTTTTCACAATTATTTGTATATTTCTTTCAAATATTTAAAATGTGTGTAACATTATTTTTATGTATCAGTGTAAAACTATTATTTACATCATATTGACAACATGACTAAACAATAAACAGTCATCATTCAAAATATTATTATTTGATTTAGTTTACTCCTGTGTTTGTAATTATAAATAAAGTTCTAATTCTCACCTTCAGAATGTTCCTGGCGTCAAAAGCTTCTCTGGATTTTCCTCCTGAACCAGAACCTTCCGCTGCAATGAACAAAACAACAAGTTAAAGCTGCTGATGTTAATCATATATATGTGTCTAAATATATGAGAGGGACAGGTTAGTATAAACCAGGATTATTCAGATCATGTCCAGCAGAGGGCGCCTGTGTTACAGAGACATGCAGCTGCTCTGTTCTCATTTCATCAGTTAAAGTTAAATTCACCAGATCTGCTCTGGTCCCAGTTTAATCTAGTTCTTTTCACCAGAGAAGGGAAGTTTTTTGTATAGCACAGTTCATACCCAAGGCAGATCAGAGAGAGACCAGAGAGGGACCAGATAAAAACCAGAGACCAAAGACAGAGAGAGCGGAGAGTCAGTACCTGTGGAGTCTCGGCGGAACAGTGTGTTCATGACGGTTCCGTGCAGTTTGACTCGGTCCCACTCTCGCTGCATCAGACCCTGAGACACAAACTGCTCGACCAGACGATCCGCCAGCAGCTGTAGCCTAGCAACAAGACAGTACCACTGTAGAAATATACTTCCTGTGTATTTACATTAAAAAATAACAACATTTCTCCCTTGTCAATTGAGTCCCAAGAGACCATAGAGATCATAGAGACCATAGAGATCATAGAGAGACCACAGAGACCATAGAGAGACCACAGAGACCATAGAGACCATAGAGAGACCACAGAGATCATAGAGACCATAGAGAGACCACAGAGACCATAGAGAGACCACAGAGATCATAGAGACCATAGAGAGACCACAGAGACCATAGAGAGACCACAGAGTGACCATAGAGAGAGCTGAGAGACCAGAGAGAGACCCAAGAGACATAGAGAGAGCTGAGAGACCAGAGAGACCATAGAGAGAGTTGAGAGAGCAGAGAGAGATACCATAGAGATGGCAGAGACTCAGAAGGGTTTTCTCACTTGTCAGATCCGTGTTTCTCGCAGACTTTGGCGTACAACACATCTACAGCCGCTGGATCGTCGTTCATGTACTCGATGCCTCTGACCCGCAGCTCCAGAGGCTTCCCACCAGTGAGCTCCCTGACCACACCAGGAAACACAGACACACCATGAAGGGACGAGAGAGAGACCAGAGAGAGATCAGAGAGAGAGATCAGAGCGAGAACAGAGAGACCAGGGAGAGATCAGGGAGACCAGAGAGAGCATTTACCAAGGATTAACTAAATCCTTGGTAACACATTAGATTTGCCTTCACTAATGAACCCTCATGAGAAAGTTAAATGCAGAATAAGGACCAATAAGTGATTACTGTGTGAGCCTTGTACCTGATGAAGTCCTGGTTCTGCTGCAGCTGCTGACCCACCGCCTGCACCTCGGCCTCGTTCAGCAGACACAGCGTTCCGAGCGTCAGGTGCAGTTTGGACGGATTCTGGAAAATACTCTCCTCCACTCCATGATCCTGGAATGGAAATGTGTATACAGTACATTACTACACCTGTGAGAACTCCCAGACCAGAAAGGTGAGTTAGTAATAAGTGCTAAAAATGGTTCATATAACTTGAAAGACAGTGAAAGGCAGCTCAGAACCAGGACCAGCACACGTTGGAGAAAAGGGGCTTTGATGAAGCGACCATAAGGGGCTACATTTGAATCGTAGGTGAAGGTAGAGGAATTCTTCTCATAAACATAATGATGACATGCAAATAAACCATAAAATTAAGGTGTGTGTGTGTGTTTCTTCTGGATTATGGCAAACACTCTCCTTATATATATTCTATGGTTGGGACCTCCTCTCTGGTCTCTCCATACATTATTGAAGTCTAGTCCTGGATTAGGTCTGGTACCTGAGATTAGGTCTGGTACCTGTGTTTAGGTCTGGTACTTGTGAGTGGGTCTGGTGCCTGTGAGTAGGTCTGGTACCTGTGAGCAAGTCTGGTACCTGTGAGAAGGTCTGGTACCTGTGATTAGGTCAGGTACCTGTGAGCATGCCTCCAGCACGTCCTCCTTAAACTTGAGAAACCCCTGTTGAATCTGCGGCTGGTTCAGAGGCAGCGACAGGAAGTGAGTGAACGGCTGTTTCTTCCTGAAGCTGTCAATCAGAATCTCCAGTCGAGTGATCGCCATGGAGACCGCAGACTTCTGAGCCCCTGTGACCACTGAGACACACACACGTGTTTACACCTGGTCTGGTATGGTCCTGGTCATGGTCTGGTTCTTGTCTGGTTCTTATCTGGTCCTAGTATGGTCCAGGTCTGGTTCTTGCCTAGTCCACCTGTAATCGCTTATTAAAAGTGGTTAAAGGTGAAAGTATTAGTCCTGCATTTACAGCCTCAGTCCTGGATCTACAGCCTCAGTCCTGGATCTACCGCCTCAGTCCTGGATCTACAGCCTCAGTCCTGGATCTACCGCCTCAGTCCTGGATCTACCGCCTCAGTCCTGGATCTACAGCCTCAGTCCTGGATCTACTGTACAGTCTCAGTCCTGGATCTACAGCCTCAGTCCTGGATCTACAGCCTCAGTCCTGGATCTACCGCCTCAGTCCTGGATCTACAGCCTCAGTCCTGGATCTACTATACAGTCTCAGTCCTGGATCTACAGCCTCAGTCCTGGATCTACAGCCTCAGTCCTGGATCTACAGCCTCAGTCCTGGATCTACTGTACAGCCTCAGTCCTGGATCTACAGCCTCAGTCCTGGATTCACAGCCTCAGTCTCTGTGTTGGATCCTACCTATCTGTCCCTCCACTCCCTGTTTGGGAATGCTGATGCTGGTTCTGGTGTCGTGCTCCAGGCGTCGGCGAGTCTCTCCCTTCTTACCGATGATGTATCTGAGCAAGAGGAACACAGAACTTGTTTTAATAAGTCTCACACTATAAACTTCACAGGAGCCGGTACCGACTTATAGAGGACACTGGGGACGTCGATGGCACAGCGGAATCCTTTCTCTGTTTGTTCAATGAGGTGAGTGTCGCAGCTCTCGTCCTCAATCAGGTCCTCACACTCTTCACACAAAAACACAAGCAAAGCCTTTGGTTTAGTAATTTAAAAAGAAAATAAATGGGTTTTGAAATTCATGAACGAAAGCAGGATGTAAGTAATTCTGATGATATTTATGGGTAAAATCTATTTAGTCTCTGATCTGTCTTTCTGGTCTCTCTCTCTGGTCTTTCTCTGGTCTCTCTTTAGTCTCTCTTTCTGGTATCTCTAAGGTCTTTCTCTCTGTTCTCTCTCTCTGGTCTCTCTCTCTGGTCTCTCTCTCTCTGGTCTCTCTCTCTCTGGTCTCTCTCTCTCTGGTCTCTCTCTCTCTGGTCTCTCTTTCTGGTTTCTCTCTCTGGTCTCTCTCTCTCTGGTCTCTCTCTCTCTGGTCTCTCTTTCTGGTTTCTCTCTCTGGTCTCTCTCTCTCTGGTCTCTCTCTCGCTGGTCTCTCTCGCTGGTCTCTCTCTCTCTGGTCTCTCTCTCGCTGGTCTCTCTTTCTGGTTTCTCTCTCTGGTCTCTCTCTCTCTGGTCTCTCTCTCGCTGGTCTCTCTTTCTGGTTTCTCTCTCTGGTCTCTCTCTCTCTGGTCTCTCTCTCTCTGGTCTCTCTTTCTGGTTTCTCTCTCTGGTCTCTCTCTCGCTGGTCTCTCTCGCTGGTCTCTCTCTCTCTGGTCTCTCTCTCGCTGGTCTCTCTCGCTGGTCTCTCTCTCTCTGGTCTCTCTCTCTGGTCTCTCTCTCTCTGGTCTCTCTCTCGCTGGTCTCTCTCGCTGGTCTCTCTCTCTCTGGTCTCTCTCTCGCTGGTCTCTCTCGCTGGTCTCTCTCTCTCTGGTCTCTCTCTCGCTGGTCTCTCTCGCTGGTCTCTCTCTCGCTGGTCTCTCTCGCTGGTCTCTCTCTCTCTGGTCTCTCTCTCCCTGGTATTTCTCGCTGGTCTCTCTCGCTGGTCTCTCTCTCTCTGGTCTCTCTATGATCCCCCTCTCTCTCTCTTGTTATTTGATAAGCCACAATACACCAAGTAAGCTAATACAGCGCTAATAGTAATTATACATCCATGATTCAGGATTGGACTGAGTGCATAACAGTGTATAAATATGTTGTATGTTTATAACGATCAGCCGGTTCTCTTTACCTGGTGCTGGTCCCGAATACCAGGACTCCTCTTCCTCCTCATACTGGTCCTCTTTCATCACATTTCTTCTATATTGTCTGCCGTGTATGACTACAAGTTGTGGCCGTAACACGTCCATGACATTAACAAGTTAGCACAGTCCACGTAAATGGGAAAATGCACAAATTAAATAACTCTAAAGCACAAAATTCTATGCAAAAAATAGCGAAAATAAAGAGTTTTTGCTTCTAGAAGTCAGTTAGCAGCTACATGGTTGGCATGAGCTGTCATTACTGCGTCCAAATTCACAAAACAGGCCTAGTTTCAACTGCTTTTTTGACCTTTTTCCTAAAATGCGACATAAATTACACAACATTGATCATCTAAACGTTTTATATATTACTTAAATAATCCTGGATTCAAGTTGTAAATATAAAATTATTTTAAAGAAAACTTAAGGAAAATAAAGGAGGTAGTGTGTTTGAATTTGGATGCAATCCTAGTTTTCAAAACGTAAATTGTAATTCCTGTCGCAAAGCAGTTGTTGAACCCAAACAAAACAAGCGACACAACTCCGTGGATAAATTCTTAAACTTTAGTCTTTTTAAGCTTTGACGGTACGTTTTATACTTCAATACTTATTCAGCCAGTAATATTGCTTAAGTTTAAGTTGTATTTGTAGTTGCTTATTGCATAGATTTTCCATATTTTGACTGCTTTGTTGCTAGCTTCCACTTTGTCTTTTCACCATTGACTTATAACGGAGAAGCTAACATGCTAAAGCTATCGCATCTATCGCTGGCTCTCACTCGCGCTAACGTTATTGTTTTGGGTGTAACTTGAATGATTACTTTTTAATGGGATGTTTGTGTTCTGATGGTGCTCCAGGGATGGCGGCCTCTTCGTCCTCGTCCTCTGCGGGAGGAGTGAGTGGGAGCTCGGTTACAGTTTCTGGGTTTAGCGCCTCGGATCTGGCTCCTCCAAGAAAAGTCCTGTTCACTTATCCCAAAGGATCAGGCGAAATGATGGAAGGTAAATGACTGTGTATGGTTCTATTCATGGGTCTTGCTTTTAGTGTGTTTGAAATAGACGTGCCAATACTAAATTATTTACTAAGACATATGACGTTATGATAAGGCTCACTATATACACTATAACTATATGATGCAATCAAACACAAATTGCTGTCTGAAGATGATGTTTCCTTCCTGCTGTTGTCAGACTGTACAACGAACGAGGACTAAGAACGCTGCCATTTGTGCAATAACTTTAACTCATGTCAGAATGTGCAGTACATACAGATGTATACATACAACTGTTTCATATTAATCAGATATATACAGTATTTTAAGTCAGCTTTTCTACTTGCTTCTTTATTATGCTATAAAGAGAGAGAGAGAGAGAGAGACCCCACAACTAGACCTTTTTATTCGAAAATAATACCAGAGTTGAAATGTGCCGACAACGAAGATGTGAACTTTCTGACAGTGTTTGTTTCATGTGGATTGTTCCAGAAAAAATACAGAAAAATTGGCTCTAAACTCAGACTAGAATCTGACTTGTGACATGCACTTGTTACCATAGTTACCAGAACCTACCCTCAAAACAACACCAGGCGACTCCTTTGAACTTTCGGAATCTTCATATTCTCTAAAACCTTTTTTGGCCAATAGTTCTTTGAAATCATTGATACAGTGTTACATTCCAACTCTGTCAGAATCAAAAACACATATTTCATCTGAACTTTCTGTCGTTTCGCTGCAAAAACATCACGCACCGGTGACGTTTACTGAAGCTGCAGCGGATTCTTGTGGAGAAAACAGAATGTTTCTCATGCCATCTGGAGGAGGCGGGACACTGCTCCAGAACAGAGAGCTTTAAGACCAAAACAACAGAGAGGGGGGTTAGAGAGGAGAGGAGAGAGAGGCAACTCAAAGTGCCTTGTGTACCAGAGAGAGAGGGAGAGAGGGAGAGAGAGGGAGAGACCCATCATCCTAATCTGTTTCCCAAATGTGCTTTCCCTCTGACCTTTGCTTCTGCTGTTGTGTAATGTCCTGTTCCCTTTAAATGAACGCAGTGATAAAATCTATAAATAATGTTGTGTTTTTGCAGATGGCTCCGATCGGTTTCTCTGCGAGTCCGTCTTCAGTTATCAAGTGGCTTCTACTTTAAAGCAAGTCAAACACGGTGAGAAGCAGGAAATGATTTTTGATTCACTGACGATCCTCTCAGCCAAGGTCTCTGTTTCAATATAGATATGAAATCATTATCAAAAAGAATACAAACATGTAAAATATTATAGAGAGACCAGAGAGAGAGTGAGACCAGAGAGAGAGTGAGACCAGAGAGAGTGAGACCAGAGAGAGAGTGAGACCAGAGAGAGAGTGAGACCAGAGAGAGAGAGACCAGAGAGAGAGTGAGACCAGAGAGAGAGTGAGAGAACAGAGAGAGTTTGAGACCAGAGAGAGAGTATGAGACCAGAGAGAGAGTGTGAGACCAGAGAGAGAGTGTGAGACCAGAGAGAGAGTGTGAGACCAGAGAGAGAGTGTGAGACCAGAGAGAGAGTGTGAGACCAGAGAGAGAGTGTGAGACCAGAGAGAGAGTGTGTGAGACCAGAGAGAGAGTGTGAGACCAGAGAGAGAGTGTGAGACCAGAGAGAGAGTGTGAGACCAGAGAAAGAGTGAGACCAGAGAGAGTGTGAGACCAGAGAGAGTGTGAGACCAGAGAGAGAGTGTGAGACCAGAGAAAGAGTGAGACCAGAGAGAGTGTGAGACCAGAGAGATAGAGTGAGACCAGAGAGATAGAGTGAGACCAGAGAGATAGAGTGAGACCAGAGAGATAGAGTGAGACCAGAGAGATAGAGTGAGACCAGAGAGATAGAGTGAGACCAGAGAGAGAGTAGAGAGACCAGAGAGAGACCCGACCTCTAATACTACCATGTGTTCTCAGACCAGCAGGTGTCGCGGATGGAGAAGTTGGCGAGTCTGGTGGACGAACTGGAGGCAGACGAGTGGAGATACAAACCTATAGAGCAGCTCCTCGGGTTCACTCCATCATAAACCAAACACTCTGGACTCTAGGGGGCGACGTCTCCCCAAAAACACACAAAAAACAGTTTTTAAACGGCCAAATCTCTGCTTCTGCTGTTTGGCCCTGTAGGATTCCACTGCAGAAAGCGATAAAAGAATATGTTAAGGATCAAAGTGTGTTGATTCTTCAGAGATTTTTTGGCCTGTTTTGAAAACGGTGTCTGCTTTTATTTCTGTCCTGTCCAGTTTTTTAAAATAAAGAAATGGAAGACAAATGTGAATATTTACAAATGACAAGGTTGTTTTGTGAGTCATTTCCAGAGTGAGAGACCAGTAGTAGTTTTCCTTCATTGTGCAAGACAGAGAGAGACTAGGGAGAGTTTAGTGGCCAGAGAGGGAGAAACCAGAGAGAGACTAGGAAGAGTGAAGTTCTATCACTAGTTTTCATTCATTTTGCATGACAGAGGGAAAAACACTTTTACTCTTCTGTTGTGAAAGACCATGTATAATTTCTGTAAGACTAAAGTTACAGATCCCAGCTTTAAGATTGAGCGTATGTGTTTTGATACAGTCCCAGTAAGTTTCCACTCAGGTCATAAACAGAGCGGTCCTCCTCGGTCTTGATTCATTCATGGGTTACGTGTTGAACTTACGACCTGCAGAAAAGAGACTACAGAGGTGTGTCCGTCCTCAGCTGGATCAGGACATTCTGTTCAACACAAAACCAAAACATTTACAAACAGCTGGACTGACGCAGAGACCAGAGGGAGGGACCAGAGAGAGAGGGAGAGAGAAAGAGATCAGAGAGTGGTAGACTAGAGAGAGAGGCCAGAGAGAAAGACACCGTAAAGAGAAAGAGGCCAGAGAGAGAAAGAGACCTGAGAGAGAGACCAGAGAGGTTTCTGTCTCTGTCACATCTTGAGATCATCTTTTGCAAATCAAAAAGTAAAAAAGAAAGGACCACCCTCACTCAGCCAATCAGCTCTCATCCCAAAGAGTTAAATAGTGACTCCCAGGGCTCTTTTTCACACTAAAGATAACATGTTTTCCAATCAGATGAAGACAGTAAACTAGTCTCTGTTTGTTCCCAACATTTCACTTCCACAAGACTCAAACGCATGTGATGTTTCTTCCAAACTGTTGATGGTATGAGGTGGTTGCTGGTTCCTTCCTCCTCAGGGTACACAGAACACACGTCTGGTTTCGTTTCCTCTTTTCTCCAAACTTCAACAGTACAGTTTGTCCTGAGACACGTGTTTACATGTGTAAGCCCCGCCCCCTTCTCTCTACTGTACTCACGGCCTCTCACGTGCGTGTGGGTCTGGCACTGGTCCAAGAGAAGCAGAGAGAGAGAGAGAGAAGGAGAGCGGGAGGGGTTAGCAAAACAACTCAAGATGTGGACGGATGCAGCCAAAGAATGCATGTGTTCTCGAGTGAGTATTAAAACCAATTCAAGGACAGTACAGCACAGTTCATAGTATACACAAGGTTGATTAATATTGCAAATCCCACTGGTCTCTCTCTGGTCTCTCTCCTCTCTCTGGGTTCTGTCTGGTCTTTCTCGTTCTCTCTGGTCTCTCTCTGGTCTCTCTCTGGCCTCTCTCTGGTCTCTCTCTGGTCTCTCTCTGGTCTTTCTCTTGTCTCTCTCTGGTCTCTCTCTGGTCTCTCTCTGGCCTCTCTCTGGTCTCTCTCTGGTCTCTCTCTGGTCTTTCTCTTGTCTCTCTCTGGTCTCTCTCTGGTCTCTCTCTGGTCTCTCTCTGGTCTCTCTCTGGTCTCTCTCTAGTCTCTCTCTGGCCATTCTTGGCTCTTTCTCTGGTCTCTCTCCTCTCTGGGTTCTGTCTGGTCTTTCTCTTTCTCTCCGGTCTCTTTCTGGTCTCTCCAGTCTCTCTCCGGTCTCTTTCTGGTCTCTCTCGGCTCTATCTCTGGCCTCTCCGGTCTCTCTAGGCTCTTTCTCTGGTCTCTCCGGTCTCTTTCTGGTCTCTCGGCTCTATCTCTGGCCTCTCTCTGGTCTCATGCTTGTTAGGTTCAGCTCTTAAGTGCATGTAGTCGCAGCCTTCCTCCAGGAGATGGAGCTGTTTCATATCTTCATCCATTGTATATGTGTGTCCATATATTTACTATACATGACAAATTGCTTCCCATTCAAAAACAGTAAATGCAAAAGTAACCCATTTTTGTGTGAAATTAGAAGCACGGCTAACCACTTCATGAGGATATTAACGGCTTTGCTTTGCAGAGACTAGCACGTTTTGTCAACTAATCAAAACGTTTGTTTACATCCGTGGCAGAAGCAGAAGTTACGCAAACACAGTGACAATAATAGACCCTGGACACTTTGTTCTATTTGATTTATTTTAAGACTTAATATCATTTGACACAAAACACAACAATCCGAAAGGAATTTATTTATTGACCTTTACCCAGGAAAGTCCAAAAGATCCAGGACTGAGGCTGTAGACCCAGGACTGAGGCTGTGGACCCAGGACTGAGGCTGTGGACCCAGGACTGAGGCTGTGGACCCAGGACTGAGGCTGTGGACCCAGGACTGAGGCTGTAGACCCAGGACTGAGGCTGTGGACCCAGGACTGAGGCTGTAGACCCAGGACTGAGACTGTAGACCCAGGACTGAGGCTGTGGACCCAGGACTGAGGCTGTAGACCCAGGACTGAGGCTGTGGACCCAGGACTGAGGCTGTAGATCTGCACAGTTCACAGGTGTAGATTAACAAGGCCAGATTTAAATAATGTGGCTCATCTCTCTCTATCTACATACTTACCTATCTATCTATCTATCTAGCTCTCTTTCTCTCTCCCTTGGTCTCTATCTCTGTCTCTCCCCTTCTCTCTCTCTGTCTTCCCCCTCTCTCATTCTCTCTCTCAGTATCTTTCTCTCTATGTCACTTTCTCTCTCCCTCTGTCTCTCTCTCTCTCTGCTCCCCCCCTCTCTCTCTCTTTCTAACAAATACTTACACTTATTCAGTCTTTGCAAAAACGTCACTTGTTTTCCACATTCACCTGCTGCACTCTGATGACGTGACTGTTTCAAATACCCAGAATTCCTCTGGGCACAAAAACACTCTGTCATTCTCTCATTCATTCATTCATTCATTCATTCATTCATTCATTCTTGTGCATTAGTCACCATCAGGTTCACAAAACACACAAAACAGAAAAACAATGCACTCTCTGTGTCATGGTTAGATAAAGTGTAAAATTGCAGCAGATGGAGGTGCAGACTTGGCTGGGGGTCTGCTGTTTACTGGAGCTGAGATATTCTGATGTAATGCTTTAGCTCGGTACAAAACAGGTGACGTAATCTGCACTGCCTGCAAACTGCAAGGCTGGGGAAATAAATAAATAAATATATATATAAAAGTGCGCACAAAATCCTTGTCCTAAAATCTCGCCGTGCATCCAGCCGCAGCCAGAGAAGCAAAGAGTGTGTTGTTACGGAGTGAGAAACACATTTAAGTTATAAACAAGTCCAGGCAAGTCTGTACATTTCCACAGTGCTGTGTTCTGCTATTCATCAGACGGAGGGAGGAGAGCTAGAGGGAGACGGCTGACCAGAACCGGCGGCCATCTTGGGTATGTATCAGATTCTTACATAGAGCTATATCATGATAACAATAATAAGGATGATAATAATAAGGCATCATGAGGCTTCATAAGGGTTCAATTAAGAAAATGAACTAAGAATCCCAACAGAGAAGTGCTCATGGATGAAGTTTTGCTCCATCTCTCTCTGGCTCCTAATGACTTACATGTGCGCTGGTTTGTTTTTGTATTGCATATACCTGGGGACAAACTTACCATGTTACATAAAAAGAGGACAGTGGAGAACTCTCATTGGTTCAATTCAGCAGTCTCGAAAGATTTTAAGTTTCAAATGTTTGTAAAATTACCTATTTAGGTCAAAAACTCTTTGGAATTGAGTGGATTGTAGTAGATATCTCTCTGGTCTCTCTCTCTCTCTCTCTCTCGCTCTCCCGCTCTCTTTCTCTCTCGGGTCTCTCTTTCTCTGGTCTCTCTTTCTTGGCTCTCTGGACCCTCTCTGGTCTCTCTCTCTCTGGACCCTCTTTGGTCTCTCTGCTGTCTCTCTGTTGTCTCTCTCTCTCTCTCTCTCTGGATCCTCTCTCTTCTCTTTCTCTTTGTGCGGCCTTTCTCTCTCTTTCTCTCTTTCTCTGTCTCTCTCATTCTCTATCTCGCTCTCTCGTTATTCATTAATTTCTCCTGTATTGTTATTTAATAAAAACTGTTTTTTTCCCATAAAACATGTATTTGTTCAACAAGTTGCATTATGCTAAAGATAAAACACATTTTAAGTTACTTGCATCAACTTCCATATCACTTTACAGTATCAAGATGGCCGCCACCCTCCCAAACACCCCTCTAGGCCTCCCCATCCTCCCTCTCTCCCCCCCTCCCTCCTCCTCATGTTGTTTTTCTCTCTGCTGTACAGTTACCAGGCAGAACCATGGGCCTCCAGGCCACATCCACAGCGCAGATGGCGAGCCTCTCTCTCCCATTGGTTGCTCCCCCACAGAAGAGGCGTGGCTTCGGACCCAGCTATAAAAGCATTGTTACCAGGGCCCTCTCTGCAGTCTGCAGCTGATCCATCTGTGGAATGACACTGTAGGATTCCTCACCTACATTTCTTGCACTTTTTACACCTTAAACCTGCACGACAACTGTGCCTCGACATCTATGAGGGACTTAAGGAACCCACTTTGCTAGAATCGTAATGTAAGTATGCATTTCAACACTTTTAAAGCCTTTTTCTAGCCCTTGCAAACATCTATTCATTCATTCATCCTCTTGATTTCTCACAAAGATAAAGCCGCAATAAGAAAGTACAAGTTGCTATAAAGAGACTATGTTATAACAGTTGTATTGTGTCTTTTTGTCTTTTGGAAATTGCTGAAAAATACCAGAAATGTCTCTCTCTGTTGTTGGCAAGTCTTTCTTTGTGCAGTGCAATGGGAGATAAACAGCTTAAACCAGATCTAATCTAAGGATAACATGGTCCAACTAGACTAGAAAGAATAGGTCTGCGGCTTTAAGTGGACATACGTGCAATTTAAAACACATATTTAGGCATAATTTGTGAGTTTTGAAGTTAAGGAGCAGACAATGGGGCGACAGCAGAACAATGGCTTTGAGAGCTACAGTCAGAATGAATCAAAAAAGATAGAAATGATCTCGCAATGTTACTAAGATGCAAGGAATTGATGAGATTGTTAACCTATGTGTACATTTTTGTGCATTTTCCAGTTTTTGCATTGATAGTCCATTGTTAGCCTCAGATTTCCTTTTGTCAAGTCTTTGCCAGAACAGAACAAAGCTTAACTTACACAGATATTTGAATGGAAAAAAACGCAATGGGGATTTTAAATGGGATTCCTCATATATTTTACATTTATATTGATGGCACAAAGAACAAGGTTTTTTCACTTTTTGTCACTTAATTTGTCACTTAACTACTATACAACTGTAAGCATTTCAAGGCCAGCATTATAGAATTAAAGCTAGGATACATAACTTTCAACGCACAATACATTAGAACGATGCATTCAAATCCATCTTGTAGTTTCTGGCTCCACAACAATTTGGTTTTATCGCTAGTTTTGCATATGTTTTTGCATATGCATTTGTTATCAGCTGCCTGCCCAAAGAGTCAAATAATGACTCACGAGGATATTTTTCTGTTTAGGGGAAATGCAAATCTCTTGTGAAGTTAATAGTTAGGTATCTCAGCTTTAAACTGTCTCTTACCTTGCGTCTTCTTCTTCCTCCCACAGTTTTCGCAGTAGTGACTTTGCACAGTGGAGCCATGCCGACCCTGTCCACACACGCTGAGCTGGTCCTGGGCTCCTCTCCCTCGTCTCCCCTCTCTCCCCCATCTCCCCTGGACTCCAGTCCCAGTCCCAGGCGCCTGTCCTGGGGGAAGCTGGTCCAGAGACTAGCAGACTTCAGCGGGAGCATGGATTCCAGCAGTGACCTGTCCGACTCTGGTGAGTATTACAGATTAGTGAACTCACTGTGCTTCGGTCTGAGGTTTAGGATTTGGACTGAAGAGAAAGAAGTAGATTGTTGGTCTAAAAGCTAACTCTAGCATTGATTCTGTCATTCTACCACCTAGTTGCAGTAGTAGCAGCGGTTCTAGTAGTAGTAGCGGGAGCAGTATTAGTAGCAGTAGTATGAGCAATAGCAGTGTAGTAGCAGTGAGAGAGCAAGAGAAAGAGACAGACAGACAGAGAAAAACAGAGAGAGGTAGGTAGCTAGATACATACATACTGTACATAGATATAGAGTAGATAGAAACAGTCTTATCGCCAAAGTAGTAAAGGATACAGTCTTAACACAAAGTGGAGATTCTCATTGACTAAACCTCCTCTTCCTCTTGTCCTCCTCAGCCTCGGACACATCTGGAGACCTGAGTCCGTCCGACGACTTATTCTTCGACCCGATGGAGGAGCACCTTCTGAAGGAGGTGGTGGAGCTGATCGCCTGCAGCCTCCGCGACGCCAAAGACTCTGAATGTGCCTTACGCTGCTCTCGCCTCCTCATTCCCGACAAACTGCTACAGCACATTGGCCGTGAACTGGTCCACCAGGCCGCAAGTGAGCCCTGCGGCCTCCGGGGGGCGCTAATTGACTTGTGCGTGGAGGGCCAGGACCAGAGCTGCGAGAGCGTGAGCCAGCTCTCTGTGGACCCCTACCTGGTGCCTACCTTCCAGCTAGCTCTGGTGCTGAGGCTCGAGACCAGCGGGATATGGCCCAAGATACAAGGACTTTTCAGCCCCTCGTCTCCGCTTGCGGGCGTGATTCGGCAGGAGGTCAAACTCAGCACTGGTTTCAGGGTGATTAAGAAGAAATTGTACTGCTCTGAAGAACTGCTCATAGAAGAGTGCTAAGAAACTGACTATTCTAAGCTATATATTTGGATTTTATTGTCTATTTTCAGTCATTCCAAGCCAAAAATTCCACAATTACCAAAATATTACAGCTTCCATTATGAGTCATTCGAAAAAAGAACATCTTAAAAACCGATAATCTTGAAAGGAGAACACTTACAAATCCTTAAATCGCTTTTATGAATTTGGAAAGTCCTTAGAATGACATGAAACCGACGAGATATGGCCCCAGATAGAAGAACTGTTGAAGCCCCTCGTCTCCGCTTGCGGGTGGAATGAGACAAGAGCTCAGACTCAGCACTGGTTTTAAGGAGATTAAAATCCTTAGATGAGAAGGACTGCTCATAGAAGAGTGACGATTCTCATAGAAGAAACGGTCGATTTTAAGCTATATATGGATTTTACTGTTCAAATTCTGTCTATTTTAAGTCATTCCAAGTGAAACACTCCAAATATTGCAGCTTCCCTTACGACTCCTTCAAAAAATAGATAATCTTGAAGTATAAACACTCATAACAAGTTGAATTGCTTTTAAAAGTCTGTTTGGAGTCTGGGAAGTCCTGAGAATGATTTGAAACCGGCGGGATATGGCCCAAGATACAACCCCTGTTCAGCCCCTCATCTCCGCTTGCGGGTGGAATGAGACTAAACCTCAAACTCAGCACTGGTTTTAAGGTGATTAAGAAGAAGTTACTATGCAGGAGCCGTGTATGTGGATTTTACTGTTTGAACTTGTTGGAGAACCTTTTTTTTTGTCATTCCAAGTTTAAAAAAATCCAAAATGGCCACAAATATCACAGCTTTTCCGAAAATCATTCTAAAACAACAGCTTAGGTTCATCTTGAATTTTGGAAATCTTCATTTAGCGTAAAACAAACCAACTGTGTGACAAATTGATGATTTTCCAACATCTTTCGGCGAATCTCCTTCTTAAAACCGTTTGATCTAGTGCAGTGTGTCTGGATTTTACTGTTTAAACAGGAGATTTTGCTTCTGGAGAATCTATTTTTAGTCCAAAAACAGTTCAATCTATATAAAAAAAATGTCTTCTACTTGCACATATAGGTTTTTCTGTTTATTTTTATGACAACGTTTCCATCTGGGACCAATGTGTTCTCAAACTGTTTGAACCTTTTTTTACCGTTTTATCCAATTATAAAGAGACATTTATTTAAAAAACGTTTTAAGTACAAACATAATTTGAGTTTAAGAATCTTTACTGTTTTAGCATCAGAACATAAAGTTACTTGAGCAAAATTGACTTACAGAAATTTTACTTTGAAATATTATTTTGTTTTGAAGTAGGAAGGAGCAGTGCTGGCCAAATACAAGATACAAGAACTGTCCAGGCCCTCGTCTCCGCTTGCGGGCGTAAATAGGCAATGGATTTGTCATTAAGACAAAAAGGCCAAATATTTTCAAAAGAATAATCAAAATTTAAAAGACAAATATTTGAATGAAAAATCCTAAAATGTTCCGATTTGTTGTTATATGTGAGTTATGATTGATGCCTCTGAAGGGTGTGGGAGGGGCCGATGGCACAGACTGGTTGCCTCGCTTCTCTCAGTGTGCCCCAGGGCAGCTGCGGCTGCTGGTGGAGGTTTGAGTGAATGAGTAAAGACATGTGAAGCATCTTTGAGTCCAAACTAAAGCAAAGACCTGGTTTGGTTCGAACACCCGGCAGCTATTTCAGTTTTGAGCCAAATGTACAATTATCTGGATGTGTGGAAAAGTACTTTATCTGTGGCTTCGAACGCAACTCCAGAAGAAGAAACGCAGTATTCTGTTGTGGTACTGTCTGCAAAGCAATCTCTCTCTGTTCTTCTTTATTTATTTTGGCAAATTATTCCATTGCACTTTTTTTGTACTTTTCATGAAGCAAAAAATAAATTATTTTTTTAAACAAAGAACTATGTTTCTGTTTCAATGTTTAATGTGGCAATATGAGTAACGTGTGAAGGATAAGCAGTAGTAGTATCATTATCAGTAGTAGTAGTAGTAGTATCAGCAGTAGTAGTAGTATCAGCAGTAGTAGTAGTAGTATCAGCAGTAGTAGTAGTATCAGCAGTAGTAGTAGTAGTATCAGCAGTAGTAGTAGTAGTATCAGCAGTAGTAGTAGTAGTATCAGCAGTAACAATAGTTTCAGCAGTTGCAGTAATATCAGCAGTAGTACTAGAGCCCTCGGCCCATGACTCCTGTCGTCACGGTGATATTTTGATCTGTGTTTTGGTCCTGGTTTGTGTCTCATGTCACACTATGTCCCAGAATGCACCGGTGTAAACACCACCAGACTCATGTGACCCGTCCATGCTTAATTCAGACCATGCTCTGTGTACACAACTTTGTACTGCTACTACTGATACTGCTGCTGATACTGCTGCTACTGCTACTTATTCTGTTGCCATAGTAATGATGATATTAAAAATCTCAAAGCTGCTGTATTTATGTAAAACTTGTGTGTTGGGAGGTGTGCCCTCTGAGATGAAGGTTGGTGGTTCGAATCCTGCTCCCAACATCCTGGGGCAATGCACTTAACCCTCATCTTGCCTGTGTGTGTGTGTGCGGGTATGTGTGCGTGTGTGTGTATGTGTGTGTGTGTGTCTTTCTCTGTCTGAGATTGGCTCCTTAAAGCGCTGTATAAACATTACTATATTTATCATTTCATCCGTAGCAATCAAAGTCTTTCCGATCACATCAGCAGAATGTCTGACCTACATTCTGAAGGCCCTGACCTCCACCAGGGGCCGGTCCAGAAGTCTGTACCACTTCTACTGTTACCTCGGCCCCTGGTCACACACACACTCTTACATAACAGTCTCAGCGAGTCGTGACTTAGAGCAATAACGTTTTATATGCATGTTTTGGTTCGACTTTTCCGACCACAACAAGCAATAATGTTGTGTCTGTTATAACTTAGTATTAGGTTGTTTAAAAATGTATGTGGCGTATGAAGTATTATCACTGTTCTGTCTGCAACATTGTTTAAGTACTGTTTCCACCAGCCTGACTTTACTCTAGACCAGAGAGAGACCAGAGAGAGCGAGAGCAGAGAGGGATCAGAGAGAGAGACCAGAGAGAGAGAGACCAGAAACAGACCAGAGAGACAGAGAGACTAGAGAGAGAGAGCTGAGAGAGGAAGAGCAGAAGGGGATCAGAGAGAGAGAGCAAAAAGGGATCCGAGAGAGAGCCGAGAGAGAGAGAGAGAGAGAGAGAGAGAGAGCAGAGAGGGATCAGAGAGAGACTAGAGAAAGAGCTGAGGGAGAGAGAGTAGAGAGAGAGGGAGAGCAGCAAGAGAGAGCAGAGAGAGAGAACAGAGGGATCACAGAGAGAGAGATTAGAAAGAGAGAGAGCCGAGAGGGATCAGAGAGAGACTAGAGAGAGAGCGCAGAGGGAACCGCGAGAGAGACTAGAGCAAGAGAGACTAGACAGAGAGAGAGACCAGAGAGAGAGCAGAAAGACCAGAGAAAAAGACCAGCAAGAGAAACTAGAGAGAGACCAGAGAAAAGGAGACTTAGTAACAGACAGAAACACATAAATCCACCTTTATCTTTTGAACGTTTTAATCCAGGAGTAAAAACACAAACAAATGTGACAAACAGCGGTGACAGAACATCAGAGGAACAAGCAGAGTCTGAGGCACGTTTGCTTCTTTTCAACTTGGCTTCGGAGTCGCTGCAGGAAGTGGGAGAGCGTTGGCAGAGAAACCAGAAATCGGAGACCAGAGAAAGAGGATCCAGAGAAGAACTAGTGTGTTCCAGATGTTTCCAGACGCTCCAGAGGACACTTCACTCGGTCACGTGTGGAGGAGAACTGTGAGGCCAGAACATGGACCAGAGGACACCAGAACTCCCACACCAGTCATTTTGACGAGTTTTAGTTTTAACTGTGACTTATTCTGTCTCTATATGTTTACTTCGTTGTTATTATCTATCATCTTCATTATATTTTTGCTTAGTATCCAACATTCTACGGCTAAGCTAACAACATCGCTAACTGCGACTTTTAAAACACATTTCTCAAGGTGCTGGTCCTGGACAGTGCTAGTTACCATAGCAACACATTGTTTGGCAGCAGTTAGCATTAGCCTAGATTCACCCATTTTAGCTCTTATCAAAATTGAGTAAATTCATTTACTCAATTTTAGCAAAATAGCAACATATCTCACGAGGGGGAATTTATCAGAACCAAACCCAGACCAGGTTCCATTGGTGTGAATAGGAGTAGGGAGCAGTCAAAGTGACGGCTGTTGGAGTCCGAGTGTTAAAGGAGACATACAATGCTCTCTGAACAAGGAAAAGCAGAAACAACATAGATTTTGTTCACATTATTGACCTGAAATGGCTTCTTTTTGCTCCATGGAAAGAATCTATGACATCTGCCACATTTGAGGCAAAAATCTGACCCAGTTTAGAGACCGGCCCACATTTCTGCTTAACTACAAGAGCACAATACGTCTCCTTTAAATGGCTTGTCTGCATAGTATAAACTGTCACATGTGCATTGATCTTTGCGAAACAAAACAAAAAAAGCGTATAAAAGTAGCAGAAAGCAGTCTTTGAGGGTTTTTGCTAGAATAGTAAAGTTAGTTTTGGCACAGGCGCGGGTACATGTGGTGAGAGTCGCTGACATTGGAAGAAAAGTGAACTTTTGTTAAGAAGTAAATGTTGATGTTATCTTTGATATTTATTGGCTTTGAGCAAATGTCCAGAGGAGGAGGAGGAGGAGGAGTCCAGCGTTGGTATTTACAGCTTTGTCTTAAAAAAAAACACGGTTTCATTAGAGACTTAAGGGAAATGGAGAGACCAGAAAGAGAACAGAGAGAAAGAACAGAGAGAGACCAGAGAGAGAGAACAGAGAGAGAGACCAGAGAGGGTCCAGAGAGGGACCAGAGAGAGAGACCAGAAAGAGAACAGAGAGAGAACAGATAGAGAGACCAAAGAGAGACCAGAGAGAGAGAGTCAGTGGCTGTACCTGTGGTCTGTACCTGTGGTCTGTACCTGTGCTGGTCTGTACCTGTGCTGGTTGGTACCTGTGGTCTGTACCTGTGCTGGTCTGTACCTGTGCTGGTTGGTACCTGTGCTGGTCTGTACCTGTGCTGGGTGGTACCTGTGCTGGTCTGTACCTGTGGTGGTTGGTACCTGTGCTGGTTGGTACCTGTGCTGGTCTGTACCTGTGGTGGTCGGTACCTGTGCTGGTCTGTACCTGTGGTCTGTACCTGTGCTGGTCTGTACCTGTGGTCTGTACCTGTGCTGGTCGGTACCTGTGCTGGTTGGTACCTGTGCTGGTCTGTACCTGTGCTGGTTGGTACCTGTGCTGGTCTGTACCTGTGCTGGTTGGTACCTGTGCTGGTCGGTACCTGTGGTCTGTACCTGTGCTGGTCGGTACCTGTGGTCTGTACCTGTGCTGGTCTGTACCTGTGCTGGTTGGTACCTGTGCTGGTCGGTACCTGTGGTCTGTACCTGTGCTGGTCTGTACCTGTGGTCTGTACCTGTGCTGGTCTGTACCTGTGGTCTGTACCTGTGCTGGTCGGTACCTGTGCTGGTCTGTACCTGTGGTCTGTACCTGTGCTGGTCGGTACCTGTGGTCTGTACCTGTGCTGGTCGGTACCTGTGCTGGTCTGTACCTGTGGTCTGTACCTGTGCTGGTCTGTACCTGTGCTGGTTGGTACCTGTGCTGGTCTGTACCTGTGCTGGTTGGTACCTGTGCTGGTCTGTACCTGTGCTGGTTGGTACCTGTGCTGGTCTGTACCTGTGGTGGTTGGTACCTGTGCTGGTCTGTACCTGTGCTGGTTGGTACCTGTGCTGGTTGGTACCTGTGCTGGTCTGTACCTGTGGTGGTTGGTACCTGTGCTGGTTGGTACCTGTGCTGGTCTGTACCTGTGGTGGTTGGTACCTGTGCTGGTTGGTACCTGTGCTGGTCTGTACCTGTGGTGGTTGGTACCTGTGCTGGTTGGTACCTGTGCTGGTCTGTACCTGTGGTGGTTGGTACCTGTGCTGGTTGGTACCTGTGCTGGTCTGTACCTGTGGTGGTTGGTACCTGGAGTCGGTACAGCGGTTGATGGTCTGTCATCAGTGGATGGAGGCTGAGATCTCTGACAGCTTGGCGCAGCTCGGAGTGCGGGCTCGTTGCGCTCTCTCGTACAGGTCCGAGTCTCCGAAGTATCGCGCTCTGTACAGCATTCCTTCCTCTGTAACCATGACAACAACACACATTAGAGACCAACCCACATTGGAGACCTGGGCACCACATTTGAGCTCCAGGGTTGGTCTTTTCAATTCTCTACATCAGCCATTCCCAAAGTTAGTAACACCGGGCCCCCTTAAAAATCTGACGGGTCTGCGCGGCCCCCGAAATAATGACCAAGACAACTTTAAAAATAGACTCTTCTCGTTATTTTATTTGGGGGATATAGCCTCTGCTACAAACGCGTAAATGATCATCCTCCACTTTGTAATACACAAATGTATACATATGTATAATATTACAAACTAAATATTGTTAATTTAACATACAACTCTCTTTGGGAGGCTCTACATGTTGTAGAGAATGGATAAAACAACACACATTCAGACAGTTAATAGAATAGCAGTGTGTAATGGGCCTTACACACTGCAGTCACGCTGCATGCATACACACTCCAGGAGGCATGCAGATGCTGTCCCAGTGTAGTCTATGGAGAAGTGGAGAGAAAAGACCAGAGAGCCCAGGCTTCTACAACAATCAAGCATCTGAAATCATCCCCACAGTACCCTACGCTCTGTGTTGGAGCCACACAAGCGTCTAAGCTAAGCTGGGAAAAGCCGGGTCAGTGCTGGGATGGGAAGCCGCAGTGTCTGATGTATCTCTGTGTGTGAGACCAAATGTATGTGTGTGTGTGTGTGTCTTACTCTGCTGCTTCTCCTTCCAGCAGTTATTGCGGAGGTTGGAGATGTAGTCGTCCTCAACGCTGCGTTCCAGGTTCTTCAGGTTTCCCCCGCTCCACTCTTTAGAGAAGTGCTCCCCCACGAAGTATGGAACACGCAGCTTCTCTGTGAGGCGCTTCTGTGAGTATCCTGCTGATCTGCAGAGGAGAGAGGGGGTGAGAGAGAGAAAGAGAGAAAGAGAGAGGAGATAGGGTGAGGGTGAGAGAGAGACAGAGTGTACTCACGGTCTGTAACTGAGGCTGTAGGCCGGACTGTGACCCATGAGCTGACTCAGAGCAGAGACGATGACGAGGATGAGGATCGGCATCACCTGCACGAACAGAGCCAGACCTCCCTAAGACACACACACACACGCACGCACACACACACACACACACACACGCACACACACATATTTGCTGTCAAAGTGAAATTAATAGTTATACACTGCAAAAATAGCAGGTCTCTCTCTGGCCTCTCTCTGGTCCCTCTCTGGTCTCTCTCTCTCTAGTCTCTCTATGGTCTCTCTCTGGTCCTTCTCTGGTATCTTTCTGGTCTCCCTCGGGTCTCTCTCTCTCTGGTCTTGCTCTCATGTCTCTCTCTCTGGTCTCTCTCTAGTCTCTCTCTCTGGTCTCTTTTTGATCTCTCCCTAGTCTCATTCTGGCCTCTCTCTCGCTGGTCTCTGGTCGCAGCAGCAGCAGTAATAGTGGTAGTACTAGAAGCAGAAACAGCAGCAGTAGATCCTTGTGAGTCACTTTTTGACTCTTTGAGGGTGGTCCTCTCTTTTCCACTTTTCTGTCTGATAAAACGGATCTAGAAGTACATGAAAACTAGTGATGAAACTTTTCAGAGCCAGCTATAGTTATTGTTTTGTGTTTTCATCACATCATCCTCAGGTGACTGTCTCCCTCTGGTGGTGGAGGATGGACTCACATCTCTCTGCCTCTCTCTCCTCGGAGCTGGTCTCTGGTACCTGGTTCTGGTGTGAGTGTATGCGTGACCATTACCTGCACAGACACACACACAATACAAGAACATTCAGGACAACAGACACTGGTGAGATCTCAGTTGTTCTAAATTATAGTTTAAAAACATTCAGAAAGACATGGTGTTCAGTAGGATTTAGACATTAGAAAATCATAAAGAATGCAATTATTTTAGTTTTTTGCAAACACAAGAATTACTAAAATCCTTCTCAGGTCTCTCTCTCTGGTCTCTCTCTAGTTTTTCTCAGTCTCTGGTCTCTTTCGCTGGTCTGTCTGGTTTCTCTCTGGTCTCTGTCTGCTCTCTCGGGTCTCTCTTTCTCTCTCTTCTCTTCTGCTTTCTCTTTGGTAGAAACTAGAGAGAGAGCAGAGAGGGAAGAGAGAGATCTGTGTTCTGTCTCTGCTCTCTCTCTCTCTTCTCTCTGCCCTCTCTGTTCTGTGTGTCTGTGTGTGTCTGTAGGTGTGTGTGTGTGTGTCTGTGTGTGTGTGTGTCTGTAGGTGTGTGTGTGTGTGTGTGTGTGTGTGTGTGTGTGTGTGTGTGTGTGTGTGTGTGTGTGTGTGTGTGTGTGTGTGTGTGTGTGTGTGTGTGTGCGTGCGTGCGTGCGTGCGTGCGTGCGTGTGTGTGCGTGTGTGTGTGTGTGTGTGTGTGTGTGTGTACTCACTGGTAGGAAAGCCTCCTCCAAAGAACATGTTGAACACGTCTTCAGGTGAGATGTCGGGTTCGAAGTTGCTGTTGGTACCGAAGTTGCTATGGTTGGTACCAGGTGTGTGTGTGTGCGTCCGCTCCTCTCCGAACTCATCGTACTGACGCCTTTTGGACGAGTTACTGAGCACAGCGTACGCATTCCCAATGGCTACAGGAGAAAAGAGAGAGGGAGAGAAAAAGGATCAAAGCGCTGTTTCCATCAACTCTACTCTGCTGTAACCCTACTACTGTATAACCAGTGCCAGGTGTTAAGTCCCTCTTGGTCCTGGTTCTAGCCAGGCTGAGCTGGTACTAAAGTGTTCTAACTGACAGTGATTGGCCAGAGTGCTGCAGGACGCCATGATTACCAAGGAATTTGTTGTGGGTAGGTTGCTAGGACACAGTACCAGAAGATAAATGGAAACACAATCAGGCAGAGTGGAGTTGAGGAGAGTAGAGTAGATTACAGAAGACAAGGGCCTAGTAGTCAGACGGTGAGACTGCTGCGATGCTAGTGCAAGATGCAAGACCCACAGGGTTCCTCTGGGTCTTGGTTTGACCTCAGGGTTCCTCTGGGTCTCAGTGGGTCTGACCTCAGGTTCTCTGTGACTGACTAGTATGTGGTTCCTGTCCTTCAAGAACCTGGGTCTAGAGTGAAGGTTCTGCAGATGGCGGATGGAGCAGTACAGCGTCCTGTTGGTCTGATCACAGGTGACATATTCAGTATTATTACTTGAACTGCATGCACTACTCTGCACCGCGCTCTGCTGGTCATTCAGGACTCATAGAACCGTAGTTACATAATGATCTGTCAAAACACAGAAGAGAAATATTGAGCAGAGGCATAAATCCTGTGATACATCACCTTTAAACGCCTCGGTGGCTCCTGGTGCGTGGTTCTTGTCCGGGTGAAACTTCAACGCCAGTTTTCTGTACGATCGTTTCAACTCGTCCTCTGAGGCATCTTTCTGAACCCCCAGGATCTCATAGAAGTCTTTACACTGCTTCACCCTGAGACACACACACACACTGCTTTACCCTGAGACACACACACACACACTGCTTCACCCTGAGACACACACACACACACTGCTTTACCCTGAGACACACTCACACACACACACTGCTTTGTCTCTTTCCAGTCTCTCTCCGATCTCTCTCTGGTCTCTTTCTGGTCTCTTTCTGCTCTTGCTCTGTTCCCTCTCTGTTCCCTCGCTGGTCTCTCTCTCTGGTCTCTGTCTGGTCTCTCTCTGGTCTCTCTATGTTCCCTGTCTGTTCCCTCTCTGGTCTCTCTGGTCTCTGTCTGGTCTCTCTCTCTGGTCTCTCTATGTTCCCTGTCTGTTCCCTGTCTGTTCCCTCTCTGGTCTCTCTCTGGTCTCTCTCTCTGGTCTCTCTCTCTGGTCTCTCTCTGGTCTCTCTCTCTGGTCTCTCTCTCTGGTCTCTCTCTGGTCTCTCTCTGTTCCCTCTCTGGTCTCTCTGGTCTCTGTCTGGTCTCTCTCTTGTCTCTCTCATAATTACCTCCGCACTGCTTCCACCTGTTCTCCAGTGTAGGACTTCTCTGTGGCCTTCTCCTCTGGTGTGGTCTCGTCGCTCTTCTGGTGTCGCTGTCTCGGTTCTGACCTGGTGTTGAAATGCGTGTGATTGTTTTGTCTCGGTCTGAATCCGTTCTTTGAGATCAGATCCAGCAACGCTACAGAAGAGAGAAGTTAGAATCAGTGAAAATAATAACATGAAAGTTATATTGGAAATTGTGCATCCGGGGTCTCTCTCCCTGCTCTCTCTCTCTCTCTCTGGCCCCTCTGTGGTCTCTCTCTCTGGTCCCTCTCTTGTTTCTCTCTGGTCTCTCCCTGGTCTCTTTCTTGTCTCTCTCGCTGATCTCTCTCCGGTCCCTCTCTCTGGTCTCTCTCTTGTCTCTCTCTCTGGTCTCTCTCTGCTCTCTCTCTTGTCTTTCTGTCTGATCTCTCTCTGGTCTCTTTCTTGTCTCTCTCGCTGATCTGTCTCTGGTCTCTCTCTTGTCTCTCTCTTGTCTCTCTCTTGTCTCTCGCTCTGATCTCTCTCTGGTCTCTCTCCGTTCCCTCTCTACTCTCTCTGATAGCTCTCTACTCTTTCTTCCTCTCTTTTCTTCTTGACTAAAAGCCTTGTAAATTCCTGGGCTGCCTTACGCAATGAAAGCTGTGTGTGTGAACTCTCAAACCCATTTGTTCTGTTTCTTGCGTTTCTGTTGAGCCTGAGTGATACAGGCTCAGAGTGAACCAGGTGCAGCAGAAGCTAATGGACCAGTGGAACATACCAGATGTGTCTCTGTCTGACGCCAGCTTTAACCACCATATATGGACTCTCTCTCTCTCTCTTGTTTCGCTCTGGTCTCGCTCTCTGGTCTCTACCTCTCTGCTCAGGTTAAAATCATCTTTACACTCAATAGACACTTATAAGTAGTACTTGTTTTGTTTTTTGTATTTGTATTAATTTACTTTTTTAAAAGATGTATACACAGACAAAATGTTAATTCATATGAAGTCTAAGCACATGTTTGAAAAGGAGTGGGTGAAAGATGGAGTCGAGAGTGGCCTGTTTACATGATGCTGAAAGACTGAGAGCTTTTCAGTCGACAGATCGATTTTTTAAGACGTGTTTTAGTGGTTTCAGATCAATACTGTGGGACTATGTTGGATGTTATAACTGTGTGGTTCAGTTCAATGCAAAATTGAGGCAATATTGTTCATAGTAATCATAATTTATCAAGGCTTTGTAAATGTTATCTCTCTGGCCTATCTCTGTTCTCACTCTAGTCTGTCTCTGGTCTCTCTCTGGTCTCTCTCTGGTCTCTCCCTCAGGTCATCTCTCTCTCTGGTCACTCTAGTCTCTCTCTGGTCTCTCTAGTCTCTCTCTGGTCTCTCCCTGCGGTCTCTCCCTTTGGTCACTCTAGTCTCTCTCTGGTCTCTCTAGTCTCTCTCTGGTCTCTCTAGTCTCTCTCTGGTCTCTCTCGTCTCTGTGGTGTCCCCCTCTCTCTGGTCTGTCCATCCTCTCCTCCTTCTTTCTAAAGCCATCTATAAAATCTTAAAATGAAGCTATATTATCCATTCCATTCCTATAAGCAGAAAGCCTATGTGCACTAGCATTGCCAAAGCCTCATGAACAGACCCCACACAGAGCCGACGCAGGCCTAGCATCTCTCCCCAGCTGCAGGTGATGCTGATGCTGCCTCTCCTCCTCCAAACCTCCGGCCTGTCTCTCTGCACCCTCCCACCTCCAAACCCACGCCTCACCTCGGGCCTTCTCCGTGGGGAACAACCTCTGTGCCTTCTCCAGGAACCGCAGCGCCTTCTCGGGCTGGTCCAGAGCCAAGGCCCGGGCGGCGATGGCGATGCACCGCTCCGCCTCGTCCCGATTCACTTCCATGGCTCCGAGAACTGCACGGACGCCCCGAGAGCCACTGGACTGGGGGTAAACGCGGACGCAGAGTGATGACAGAGAGAGGGTATCAGGGGCATGAGTGGCAGCCGGCAGATGGAGCGAGGGCCGGGGAGAAAACAGATGTCGCTGCGGGAATAAGATCCTCCGCTCGCCGCATGGAGCATTTTTGGTTTGAGAGTCGCTGAGGTGTAGTGACAGGAGGCGGCCACCAGAGGGAGACAGGACAACGCGTTTAATAGGAGTAGACTGGAGAGAGAGTGGAGAGAGACCAGAGGGAGACTATAGAGAGACTAGAGAGAGAGAGACCAGAAAGAGACTAGAGAGACACTAAAGAGAGACCAGAGAAACCAGAGAGACACTAGAGAGAGAGAACATAGAGAGACACTATGAGAGAGAGCGAGAAAGAGAGACCAGAGAGAGATCAGAGAGACAAGAGGGGGACCACAGTGAGAGAGAGACCAGAGAGGGACCAGAGAGAGGCCAGAGAGGGACTAAACAGACCAGACAGAGAGAGACCAGAGAGAGATAAGAGAGGGACCACAGAAAGAGACCAGAGAGAGACCACAGAGAGAGACCAGAAGAGACTAGAGAGACTAGAGAGATTTGGCTTTTTTCAGTAGAGCAAAAAACACATATTTCCCACAGACATGTAAAGACTATAACAGTTTATTGATCACAAATGCTGGAATATAATCCTACTCATTGCGCAGTCTGATAAAAAAGCGAACATAAAGTTACTTCTAACCGTTTATGACTATTCAACAATCATTGATACATTTTACCACTTGCTTTTGTCCATGACTCAGGATTTTTGTCTCAAGACGCATACAGTAAATATGTGAACAGTCTGTGAACTCTGCGGAGCACACACCTGTGGCTGGACTCTCTGTGAAGCTGTAGTTTTAGCCTCTTATTGACTCGATTTATATGTGGGAACAGTCTCTGCACAAAAAAAAGATCAAAGGACTGATAAATGCGGATCTAAAGATGTGACAGAGGCCAAAAATTCATGTGATAGAACTTTCTCTGGTCTCTCTCTGGTCTCTATCTCTGGTCTTTCTCTGTGGTCTGTCTCCCTAGTTTCTCTCTGGTCTCTCTCTGGTCTATCTCTGGTCTTTCTCTGGTCTTTCTCTGTGGCCTGTCTCTCTAGTTTCTCTCTGGTCTCTCTCTGGTCTCTCTCTCTGGTCTCTATCTCTGGTCTTTCTCTGTGGTCTGTCTCCCTAGTTTCTCTCTGGTCTCTCTCTGGTCTATCTCTGGTCTTTCTCTGGTCTTTCTCTGTGGTCTGTCTCCCTAGTTTCTCTCTGGTCTCTCTCTGGTCTATCTCTGGTCTTTCTCTGGTCTTTCTCTGTGGCCTGTCTCTCTAGTTTCTCTCTGGTCTCTCTCTGGTCTATCTCTGGTCTTTCTCTGGTCTTTCTCTGGTCTTTCTCTGGTCTTTCTCTGGTCTTTCTCTGTGGCCTGTCTCTCTAGTCTCTCTCTGGTCTCTCTCACTGATTTTTCTTTCTTGTCTCCCCCTCTGGTCTCTTTGTCTCTCTTGTTTCTCTCTCTCTCTCATCTCTATCTGGTCTGGCTCTTATCTCTGTCCGTTCTCACACTGATCAAAATAAAGTGAAAAGTGAAAAAGAAAGGACCAGGCAGAGAGAGCAGAGAGAGACCACAGAGAGAGACCAGAGAGAGAATAGAGAGAGAGAGCAGAGAGAAAGACCAGAGAGAGACGAGAGAGAGTAGAGAGAGAAACCAGAGAGAGAATGAGACCAGATGGAGAGACCAGAAAGAAAGACCAGTGAGAGACTAGAGAGAAAGACCAGAGAAAGAGAGAGACCAGAGAGAAGAGAGATAGACCAGAGAGAGAGACCAGAGAGAGGGACCAGAGAGAAAAAGTAATGAGATCATAGTTGAAATGTGCTGACGCAGAACTTTGTGATTGAGAAATTAGCTCTAATCTCAGACTAGAATCTGACTTTTGACACTTACCACAGTTACCAAGAATTCGCAGCTTCACGTCACCATGATGTGAACCATCGACTCTCTGGAACGCTGTGATGTCACATGAACGCAGACCCTCATTTGTGGTTCGATACATCTTAAGTTTTATCTTTCACTTTTCCTGGAGATAAACTGTGATTATTGTGAAACAGATAATGGACGTTTTATCACACATTAAATTGAAGGAGATGCGATAAGAGGATTTTGTTGGAGATACAGGCTCTGCAGGCGATAGGGACCATGTGTACCAGAGAGAGAGAGAGAGAGACCAGGGAGATTGATTTTTAACAGACCTTTATTTGTCCATTAAACAGGTTAAATTACATCACATCTTACACATTGTAATGTATAGGAAAAAACATAGTTTAAAAAACCGGACATAAAAGTGCAAAAAGTGCAAATACTGGCAATAAATAAACAATGCAACACTTCACACACTTCAATTCATAGGTTTACAACGATAAAATTGCAGAAAAAAACAGCTCCCCGTCCCTCACAGAGCACACCTCCCTGAACCCCCAGCGCTCCTCAAACCCCTCCTGATCCCCATTTATCCTATAGAGACCGAACTCCAGCCTGAGTCTGGCCTGGACCATCCGGACCAGCAGAGCCCTGGGACTGATCTCACTCTGGTCCTGGACCATCCTCCTCCTGCTCACATAGACGGCCATCTTGGCCTGACCGACCAGGAAACTGAGCAGCCACCCCCTCCTCCTGCTGTGGTTGGAGTACCTGACCCCCCCCACAAACACCTGAGCATTAAACTCTGCCCCCAGTGAAGTGAAGAGGCCCCTCAGCAGCTCCAGCATGTGCCTGAGCCTCCCACACTCCCAGAAGCAGTGGAACACTGTCTCCCTCTCCCCACAGAAGGGACAGCCCTCCCCCACAGCCCTGTTCACCCTACACACAAAGGCATTGACTGCTATTGCCCCATGCAGCAGCCTCCACTGCAGGTCTCCCTGTCTCTTGGTCAGAGGGGGCTTGTACAGGGCCCCCCAGGCCGGGCTGAAGGCAGGGCCCAGGTGTGACCTCCACACAGTGTCTGCTCGGTCACACAGTCTCTGGTGGTTCAAGGCCTGGACCATGAGGCTGTAAAAAGTCTTCCCTGTAGCAGCCTCCAGAGAGGCAGCTACTGGACTGGCCAGCAGGGGCCCAGAGGAGGAGCCCAGGTCCGGGCTGAGGATGAGACTGGGAAAGGGGTCAGTGGGGTCAGGGGTCAGTGAGCCTGAACTGTGTCCCTCTAACAGAGTCCAGTCCTCCTCTGTCAGACCCTCTCTCCAGAAACACAGGAGACGCTCCAGGGTCCGACCCGGCCTCAGGCCCAGGTGGACTCCCAGTGCCTCCCAGTCCTCCAGCTGAGGACCACTGACATTGTGGAGCTGCTGCACCGAGACTACCCCCCCAAACTGAAACGGCCCCGCAGCACAGGCCCCGCCCAGGCAGGAAACTCCAGGGGCCGCTGTAGGAGCCAGTGCAGAGAGGAGCTCTGCCTCTGCCTCTTCACTCTGCTCCACACCGAGAACAGCCCACAGTAGAAGGATGGGAGTCCAGCTGGTGTGTGTTCACTAAGGAACCCTGGGAGCCCCAGTCCCCCCGCCCTCTGCAGGATGGAGACTGCCAACGGTCTCCACAGCAGCTCCTCTGGCCCAGCTACCAGTCTCTGGAGAAACTGTAGCCTAAAAGCAGCTCCTCGGCTGGCCAGATGGACCAGACCTTGGCCTCCCTGCTCCTTCGGCAGAAACAGCACTGCCTGGGGGACCCAGTGCAGCTTGTCCCAGAAGAAATCTGTGATCAGTCTCTGGATCTGTGAGAGTAAAGAGGGAGGTGGGTCTGTGCTCTGCAGCTTGTGCCACAGAGCAGAGGACACCAGGTTGTTGGCAACGAGGACCCTCCCTCTGTAAGACATTTTAGGCAACAGCCACCTCCATTTACTCAACCGCCCTTTAACTTGCTCCAGAGACTGATCCCAGTTCCTCCGGACATGACCAGGGCCGACGAACACCCCCAGGTGTTTAAACCCCCCTGTCCTCCACACCAGTCCCCCAGGCAGGCTGAGACCCCTCAGACCCTCCCCGAGCAGAGTGGCAGAGCTCTTGCTCCAGTTCACCCTGGAGCTGGAGACCTGACCAAAGACCTGCACTGTGTCAGCCAGGACCTCCACATCCCTCTGGCTGTTAACGAACACAATGAGGTCATCTGCGTACGCAGAGACCTTAAATGGTCGTGCTCCAGGCAGCAGCGCCCCCTGCAGGTCAGCTCTGAGCCGATGCAGAAGGGGCTCGATGGAGAGGGAGTAGAGCATCCCAGACAGAGAGCAGCCCTGCCTGATGCCCCTCCCCACACTGAACGGCGCACTGAGCCCCCCATTCACCTTCAGTACACTCATGACGTCACAATACAGAGTCCGGACCAGGGAGAGAGACCAGGGAGAGACCAGAGAGAGAGCAGAGAGAGAGAGCGGAGAGAGACCAGAGAGAGACCAGAGAGAGACCAGGGAGAGACCAGGGAGAGACCAGAGAGAGAGCAGAGAGAGAGAGCGGAGAGAGACCAGAGAGAGACCAGAGAGAGACCAGGGAGAGACCAGGGAGAGACCAGAGAGAGAGCAGAGAGAGAGAGCGGAGAGAGACCAGAGAGAGACCAGAGAGAGAACAGGGAGAGACCAGAGAGAGAGCAGAGAGAGAGAGCGGAGAGAGACCAGAGAGAGACCAGAGAGAGAACAGGGAGAGAGCAGAGACAGAGCAGAGAGACCAGAGAGAGACCAGACAGAGACCAGGGAGAGACCAGGGAGAGCCCAGAGAGAGAGACCAGAGAGTGACCAGAGAGAGACCAGGGACAGACCAGGGAGAGACCAGAGAAAGACCAGAGAGAGAACAGAGAGAGACCAGAGAGAGGCCAGAGAGAGAGACCCGAGAGAGAGACCAGAGAGAGACCAGGGAGAGACCAGGGAGAGACCAGGGAGAGACCAGAGAGAGACCAGAGAGAGACCAGAGAGAGACCAGGGAGAGACCAAGGAGAGACCAGGGAGAGACCAGAGAGAGACCAGAGAGAGACCAGAGAGAGACCAGAGAGAGGCCAGGAAGAGACCAGAGAGAGACCAGAGAGAGAAACCAGAGAGAGACCAGAGAGACACCTCTGGGAACACCAGGTGCCACAGTGGGGCGGCTGCGGCTGCAAAATGCCAAACTGTGGTTGTGTCCTTAGGCAAGACACTTCACCACATTGCCTAGAATGAATCTGGTGTGTGTGTGAATGGTTGGTGGTGGTGGGAGGGACCAATGGCACAGACTGGTTGCCTTGTTTCTGTCAGTGTGCCGCAGGGCAGCTGTGGCTACAGTAATAGTTTATCACCACCGTGTATGGAGTGAAAGAATAATGACGTATGAAGACACTTAGAGTGTCCTGAAAAGCTTTGTAAATTAAAGACAAGAGAGAGACCAGAGAGAGACACCAGAGAGACTGACCCTTAACTGTGTTTATGCTAATCTCTTCTGTCCTTTTACCCGGAGACTCCAAGAAGTATGAACTCCCAGTATAATTCAAATGTACCTTTACTCACTTTTAAAATGTGCAAAAACTTAAAGAGACCAGGGAGAAATCGAAAACAGAGAGAGAGAGACCAGAGAGACACCAGAGATACACTAGAGAGAGAGAGCAGAGAGAAAGACCAAAAACACTATAGGAAATTATTGATGCCAAAGCGAGACCAGAGAGAGACAAGAGAGAGACCAGAGAGAGAAAAGAGAGAGACTATAGAGAGACTAGAGAGAGACCAGAGAGAAGGACTAGATAGAGAGCAGAGAGAGATCAGAGAGAGACTAGTGAGAGACCAAAGAGAGACAAAAGAGAGACTAGAGAGAGACCAAAGAGAGATTACAGAGAGAGCAGAGAGAAAGACCAAAGACATGATAGGAAATTATTGATGCCAAAGCAAGACCAGAGAGAGACAAGAGAGACCAGAGAGAGAAAAGAGAGAGACTAGAGAGCGATAAGTGCGACTAGATAGAGGGACTAGATAAAGAGACCGTGGAGATTGTATGTGCGATACATCCTCTGCAGGTGATAGTGGCTGATGCCCTCTGGGACCTGTGGACCCATTAATCACGTACCACACTCAGTTTACTGCACTTTATCCGTCTGCTCTAAAGTCGTATTGACAAAGTTATCACGCTCTGGACGGCTGCGCTCAATAAATAAATGATGTAAGTATTGGCGAGATAAAACGTTGTGAACTGGTGCCATAGTTGTCTAAGGATGTTTGCAGAGAGATTGTGGCGACGATAGCGATAAGAGCGGAGTCATCCCGGGCCCCGAGGCTACTGCAGTTTAACCGTGGATCTAGGTTAGGGACAGATCCTGGGCCAGCTAGCTTGACTGTATTTGTGCTAACGTCATCTGTTGTGTACACTGAGACTCCAAGAAGTTTAATTCAAATTTAGCTTTACTTCACTTTAAAAATTTGTGAAAACTGAAATAGACAAGAGACCAGACCAGAGTCACAAAGCGGTTTACAATTGTTATTTTTTGGGCAATTGTCCTCTCACTCCACACAGAGATGGGAGCGGGGTCACCAGTACAGGTAGTGGTAGGGGAAACCGGAGCACCCGAAGGAAACCTACGCAGACACGGGGCGAACATGCAAACTCCACTCAGAAAGACCCTGTTCCGACCGGGATTCGAGCCCAGGACCTTCTTGCTGAGAAGCGAGAGTGCTATCCACTCAGCCGCCCAGAAAGACCAAAGACACAATAGGAAAATATTGACACCAGAGAGAGAGCAGAGATAGACCAAAGAGACCAGAGAGAGACTAGAGAGAGACTAGAGAGAGGCTATAGAGAGACTAGAGAGAGACTAGAGAGAGGCTATAGAGAGACTAGAGAGAGACTAGAGAGAGGCTATAGAGAGACTAGAGAGAGACTAGAGAGAGAGCAGAGTTAGACTAGAGAGAGACTAGAGAAACTAGAGAGAGACTAGAGAGAGGCTAGAGAGAGACTAGAGAGAGACTAGAGAGAGTCTAGAGAGAGACTAGAGAGAGAGCAGAGTTAGACTAGAGAGAGACTAGAGAAACTAGAGAGAGACTAGAGAGAGACTAGAGAGAGACCAGTGAGAGACTAGAGAGAGACTAGAGAGAGACTAAAAATAGACCAGAGAGAGACTAGAGATACAAGAGAGAGACTAAAGAGAGACTAGAGAGAGACTAACGAGAGACCGGAGGGAGACTAGAGAGAGGCTGGAGAGAGGCGAGAGAGAGGCTAGGGAGAGATGAGAGAGAGGATAGAGAGAGACCACAGACCAAAGCGAGACCGGAAAGAGACCACAGACACTAGAGGAAAATATTGAGACAGGAGAATGCACTGGAGATGGCAGTCCTCAGTAGCTCTGAAACAGTTGTTTTTGTGCTTTGCAGTTGTTGTTTTTCTTGTTTTTATTCTTCCTGAGATGTTGCTGCAGTACAGTGTTGATGGTTTTGCTCTGGTCCAGACAGTAGCAGAGAGGATTCATGGTCCGAACCAAGCGGATCGGGAAAAAAATCCACTGGAGGAAGGCAAACTTTTTGAAAAATGCAAAAGCATCAACAAAGCATTCAGCATCTTACTTTGGACCAGAGCAGAGAAAATGGTCCGAACCCAGCGACTACTCCACCTCTGCTGCTGTGACCTAAACTACTGTTGCACTTTAATACTATTGATAGCTAATTTTAGAATTACTCATAGAATAGAATCTATTTATCTGTTTTGTTTGTATGGTTGCATGTTTCTGCTGCTACTGGCCACCTGAATTTCTTCTACGGGGATCAATAAAGTATCTATCTATCTATTTAGAGAGAGACCAGAGAGAGACTATAGAGAGACTAGAGAGAGACTAGAGAGAGACCGGAGGGAGACTAGAGAGAGACTAAAGAGAGACCGGAGGGAGACTAGAGAGAGACTAAAGAGAGACCGGAGGGAGACTAGAGAGAGACTAAAAAGAGACTAGAGAGAGACCAGAGAGAGTGAAGAAGATGACATAGTCTGGGATCGCGTCTTAAATTCAGACAGAAGACATGTTTTATTGTCGATGGTAGAGACAGCACGATCAAAGCACACGATCACAGATACAAGAGAATGCAAGTGTATTATACAGAGCGGAGGCCTGGAGTCCTCCAATCAGCAGCTGCCACGGTGTGCTTGTAGCTTGGCCTTCAGATAGACAAAACAAGGGAAAAGTACAGGCTTCTGCACATTGATAGAATGATGAGTTTAACTTTAACAAAAGTTGCTTCAAAGTGTTATGAAATCTCACAAGAGACTAGAGAGAGACTAAAGAGAGACCGGAGGGAGACTAGAGAGGAATCAGAGAATGACCTTTACTCACTTTTAATGAGTTCAAAAACGGGTAAATATAACTGGAAATACAGAAAAATAACAATTTGCTGAAAGGCTAATGCTAACTGGTAGCAAGTTCATAGTGCGTTGCTATGGTTACTAGCGTTCGCACTTCTCTACTTCTCTTCTCCATTTCAAAATTTAAAGATGACCTTTTCTACATAAAGACACCGAAAAAGGCTCAAAGTTTATAAAGACCAACAAGGTATACAAACACTTCCAAAACTAAAAGCCGTAAAATTGACAGCTCTGAGCGTTCTAGTGTTAACTGTGTTGTTATTATAATAGATCCATGGTTTTTGCGTCTTCTGTTCTCTCACTCTAGCTAGCTCACTCTCACTAGCACAGTTAGCCAGTCTGACACATTCTAACCAATGGAATTCTGAAACATCTCCAAAAAAAGAGTTTGTTTTCCACCAGTTTTCTTAAAAGTAAGTCATTTCAAACTTTTTTTAATCTTTACTCTCTTGTACTAAGAGCTAAAACTGATGAATATAACTGAAATACAGCAAAAAAAAACGTTTGTTGAAAGGCTATTGCTAACTTCTGCAATTAAATAGTGTGTTGCTATGGTAACCAGCACCGGCTCTGCAATGGTGGAAAACAAGAACAGGTCCAGGGCCAGTCCAGGATGATTCCAGGACCAATCCAAAACCAGTCTAGTCGGAACAAATGCCCATAAAGGAAATTGGCTCCAGCTAGCTTACGTTCAAATCGGCTTCTTCCGCATTAATGCTAACAACGAGGTGATCGCTTCTTTGGTTGCTAAGCTGTTGCTATATTGCTTCTATACAGTCTATCGTTTGGTCATGTTTTTTCCCTTTGTTTGAAGTCGACTAATGGATCGTCTGGGAATGTCTCAACAGCCGGAGCAGGTTTGACTTTCAGATGCTGCAGGGTCATTCTGTCATTTGCATGTTCTTCTGGTGTCTGCGTATGTCACCACAGTTATATAGCTGGAAGATATGTTAAAATACTTCTGTACTTCTCAGTCTGTAGACCCAGGACTAAGGCTGTAGATCCAGGACTGAGGCTGTAGATCCAGGACTGAGGCTGTAGATCCAGGACTGAGGCTGTAGATCCAGGACTGAGGCTTTATAGATCCAGGACTGAGGCTTTATAGACCCAGGACTGAGTATTTAATTTCTGAATTTCTCTAATGATCTGTTTTGTTCACAACAGTGCGTACAATATATGAAACAAAAATATACGGCAGATTTAATTTCATGAAAACAAATGTAATGGAGACTATCCAAGTACCATCTGAGGGATCTATCCGGGGGCAGAGCAGACCATAAACAATCTCTCCATGTGAGAGCATATCTGGACATATCTCAAAGTTTATGAATCTTTATCTTTAGGGCACAGTAAAGTCTGGCTGCTATCTCTCTCACCTCCAAGTCCATACAACCTGGAGTGTCCCTAAGAACCAGCTTGTGATACAGTGGTCTTAGTGCTTTTTTAGAGAGAGAGACCAGAGAGACAGCCAGGAAAGACCAGTGGGAGAGAGAGACCTAAAAGAGAGAGATCTGTGAAACCAGAGAGAGATCAGAGAGACACCAGGGAGAGAGACCAGTGATTTTAAACCTATTGGTTATAGGTCTGAGTGCTACTGCAGCTGCCAAAAGCTGTGCATACGCTGTAAAATACATGCTTGTAGAGAACAGAGGGGCAGGAGCACTGAGGGCTACGGGAAGAGAGAAACCAGAGAGAGACCAGATAGACCAGAAAGAGGCCAGAGAGAGAGACCAGGGAGAGACCAGAGAGAAACCAGACAGAGAGGCCAGAGAAAGAGGCCATTGAGAGAGAGAGAGAGAGAGAGAGAGAGAAACAGAGAGAGACCAGGACTGGTCCTGGATCTACAATTTGTATCCCTGTGTGAGTGGATCCTTCTCTCAAAATGGGCCTCCCCGAGGTTTTTCTCTGATGCAGGAGGGTCTAAGGACTGTGTAAGTAGTAAGTAAGTAAGTATTTATTTATATACCGCCTTTTCACTGCAGATCTGAGTCTCAAAGCGGTTTACAATTGTTAATTTTTGGGCATTTGTCTCTCACTCCACACAGAGATGGGAGCGCGGTCGCCAGTACAGGAGGCACATGCTAGAACTATTGGACATATTTTTAGTGGTAGGGGAAACCGGAGTACCCGGAGGAAACCTACGCAGACACGGGGAGAACATGCAAACTCCACTCAGAAAGGCCCTGGTCCGACCGGGATTCGAACCCAGGACCTTCTTGCTGAGAGGCGAGAGTGCTATCCACTCAGCCACCGTGATGATCCAGGACATTTTGGACAGTGTTCATCCCGCTTCCTATGGACCAACGACTCCTATGTGTTCTAGTCTCTCCCAGGCCTCTCTCGCCTCTCATTCTGGTCTCTCTCTGGTCTCTCTCTCACCTTACATGAATTTCCACCGCTGTGAAAACATAACCAAATCTTTCTTTACATCCTGACCCTGCAATACTACTCTACTCCACGTGGGGGAGTCCATTCTTGTTATAAAACTCTCCCCCCCCCCCTCCTTTTTTTTAAACATTCTAAAACATGCGATCCCCCGCCGTCGCACGCACTTCCCCTCATTACGCACGACCTCTTTCAACTCCAACTCAAACCGACTTAGCCTTGGCACGTTGTGGCGAACACACACACACATGTCTGTACTCGCACCCGCATCTGGCGTTATAACGATGTATAAAAAGGTGAAACAGCAGATAAGCCAGTAGCCAATCAGAGCGTGAGGAGAGGCGGCATCTGCGCAGCCATTGGTCCAGGAGCGCAGAGAGAGTACGCTTGTGGCTCCTCTTCTCTGCCCAGTCAAGACGCGTCTCTGCTGTAGTCGGTCCTGCTGTTGCCTGATTGCTTTTTGTGCATCCGTTATTACCTGTGCGCATCCAGCATCTTACCAGTAACAAGTCAGCATCTACGCACTGGTATGTCTCTCTATTTCTAATGTATGTGTTTGTATGTAATCTGGCTCTACGCGACGACAAATTGCAGATGTTATTTAAACATTTCACCTTTTTTCCGCCGATCCGTTCTGCGTGTGTGCGTCCGTGCGTGGCTCTCATTCAGCCACAGATGGTGCATAGATGTGATTTTTATTTTATTTTTATTCTTTTCCTCTCTCTCTCTTCACGCAGAGCATCCGCCATAGCAGCGACATGACAGAAACAGAGCTGGCAGACAACCACGCCAAAGCCCATGCAAGCAGAGACGATGTCTTTGATCCCACGTACAAAGAGAAAGAAGGGCCGAAGCCACCGCTCAACATAGTGTGGAAAAATGTTTTTCTGATGGCGCTGTTGCATCTGGGGGCCCTGTACGGCGTCTATCTGATCCCCTCTGCATCCGTGCCAACCCTGCTCTGGTGTGAGTAGGCCTGTGTGTGCGTACGTGTGTGTCTGTGCGTCTGTGTGTGCGTGGGTTTGTGTGTGAGACTATGTAAGCTATGTATGCATGCATGTGTGTGTGTGTGTCTGCGTGTGTCTGTCTGTCTCTCTTCCTCTTTCTGTATGTAGCCCACATATGTTTGTGTGCGTGTGTGACTATGTAGGCCATATGCATGTGTGTTTTTATGTGTCTATCTCTGTGTAATGTTGTGTATCACAGCAGTTTGATCCTAGACAACTTCAAACATTGTCTAAAGATACAGGTTGAATCCATCTGTAGCGTCTGTAGCATCCTGACAATGTTTGGTCCGAAGCAGAAATGGTTCAAGAGGAGTTTAAACTATGTGTGTAACAACAGGAAGAGAAATACCTATATTTTAATGTTGATAATGATGATGAATTATAGCCGTCAAATGGCAATTGTAACGAACAATACTATGGTTTTATCAGGCAGAATGCAGCTCTCTGGTCTCTCTGGTTTCTCTCTCTCTCTTTCTCGTCTCTCGTCTGTCTTACTCATTCCCTGGTCTCGCTCTGGTCTCTCTCTGGTCTCTCTCTTTCTCTCTCTCTCTCTCTCTCTCTGGTCTCTCTTGAGTCTCTGGTCTATCTCTGGTCTCTCTCTCTGGTTTCTCTTGAGTCTCTGGTCTCTCTCTGGTCTCTCTCTCTCTGGTCTCTCTTGAGTCTCTGGTCTCTCTTGAGTCTATTGCTCTGGAGAGACCAGAAAGGGACCTGAGTGAGAGAAAAGAGAGAGATGAAACACATGCCAGAGAGAGAGAGACCAGAGAGAAAGAGAGAACAGAAAGAAAGAGAGACCAGAGAGAGACCAGAGATGTTTGGGATTCCTTCGGTAATTGGACACATCTCCCACCTCGTTGTCGTTAGTATCAGCTGAGACAGTGGTTGTAGATCCACACAGAGGGCGATTGTGACGGTGACAGAGCCCTGATTGAGAATCAACAGATGTTTACCAAACAGACGTCATTTCATTTATGCAACACTTCATTTTAAAAGATAAATTCTACTAAATATACTTTTTTATGAGCTCCATGCAACACGCATCACTAACCAAACCCTTATCAGGAATTCTTTCTTGAGAGAAACCAGAGAGAGACAAGGGATGAGAGAGACCAGGGAGAGAGATACAAGAGCGAGACAAGAGAAAGACCAGAGAGAGATCAGAGAGAGACCAGGGAGAGACCAGAGAGAGACCAGAGAGAGACCAGAGAGAGATCAGAGAGAGACCAGGGAGAGACCAGAGAGAGACCAGAGAGAGCCAAGAGAGAGACCAGAGAGAGCCAAGAGAGAGACCAGGGAGAGCCAAGAGAGAGCCAAGAGAGAGCCAAGAGAGAGACCAGGGAGGAGCAAATCCAGGGAGAGGGATACAAGATAGATACAAGGGCGAGACAAGAGCGAGACAAGAGAGAGACCAGAGAGAGACCAGGGATAGAAGAGAGATACCAGGGAGAGACCAGAGAGAGAGACCAGACCAGAGTAGAAAATGCTTTTAAACATCTTGGTCTGTGTCAAAAGCAGACACAGTTGTTTGGAGTTTGAACCACACCAATATCAGGAACGTCCTCTGTCTGTTCTCTCTGTTATCATCATCTCAGGAGGTGTTCTCTGCTGAATAAGCTTCAGTTGTGACCATTACAACTGTGTTCTTACATTTTGATAATATATTAGATAAGACTATAACATGTGACAGATTGAGCAAAGAGAGAGCAGAGAGAGACCAAAGAGAGAGACAAGAGAGAGACCATAGAGGGACCAGAGAGAGAGAGACTTTAGAGGGACCAGAGAGAGAGAGAGAGACCATAGAAGGACCAGAGCGAGAGACCAGAGAGAGAGAGAGACAAGAGAGAGACCACAGAGGGACCAGAGAGCGAGAGAGAAGAGAGAGACCTGAGAGAAAGCAGAAAGACCCGAGAGAGAGACCGGAAAGAGACCAGAGACGGAGACCAGAAAGAGAGAGCAGAGAAATCAACATGTTTCACACATTCATTTTCTGTTTTTGCTTTTTAAGAGACTTGATATTGACGTGTATAAATGTGTATCGCGGAGTCGAACCTTACATAATGAACCCTGGGGTTATTTTGAGCTTTGCATCGAAGCGACTGTGAATCGATGGTCGTCTGGGAGAGTGTGAGTTATCTCTGAGAGGCGCTCTGTATGGATTTGATCTGAGGCGGTGATGGAGGAGGCTGAGGAGGAAATGGGCCGAAGAGTGATGTGAGAGCTGTGAGGAGGCCACCGAGCGAAAGACACGTTTTTCAAAGTAGTATTCGAAAGAGAAAGTGGATATTTAAAATGTATTGGAATAGCACTGTCTCGCAAATGAATGGAAGTTTGCATGTAATAGGATGGAGAGGTTCGTTGGGTTTTATGATTCTATAAGTTGAATATTGTTGTTGTAAGTATCTTGACAGTTTGGACTGGGACGAGGTAAATATGAGAGAGAGAGGCCAGAGAGAGACCAGAGAGAGAGAGGCCAGAGAGAGGTAAGAGAGAGACCAGAACGAGACCAGAGAGGGAGATTGGAGAGACCAGAAAGAGACCAGAGAGAGACCAGGGAAAGACCAGAGAGAGACCTGAGGGAGAAGAGAGAGACCAGAGAGAGACCAGAAAGAGGGGCCTTGGTAATATGAAAAGGAAATAGAGCCTTGCACAGGGAGGGAAAATGACAGAATATCATTGATAACAAAGTGTCTGATCCCTGAGGCCTCTATGGAAAAGAACATTCTGGAGTTTCTTTATCTTGCGACAAAGGTACAACAATCTTCCTGGACACAAAGGATAAAATACAAACGTCTTTAGTATCACTGGCCCTGTTCACACTGCACAGATACAGTACTGTATGTGACACAGACACACAGAGAAAAGACTAAAGACACAAACATGGAGGTGACTGAAACATGGTCTAGAGATGGGACTCGTTCTGATGTGGGTGAAGTGTCTTGCCTAAGGACACAACAACAGTTTGGCACTTGGCACAGCCACCCCACTGTTGCACCTGGTGTTTCATACATGGCGACGAAAGAACCAATTGCAGCACTACCTCTCTGGTCTCTCTCTAGTCTCTCTCGGGTCTCTCTAGACTCTCTCTGGTCTCTCTAGACTCTCTCTGGTTTCCCTAGACTCTCATTGGTTTCTCTCTGGTCCCTCTCTCGTCGCTCTCTCTCTGATCTTTCAGTTTGCTATCTCTGCTCTCTCTGCTTTTTTGGTCTTATGTACCGCTGCTCTCTCTCTCTCTCTCTCTCTCTCTCTTTCTCTCTCTCAGGTTTTTCTCCAGTCTCTCTCTGATGATAACACTTCCCATTCTTTTTCCTGAACATTCCTGGGCTGCTTTGCACAAACAGCGTATCTAGAAAATAGAAAACATTTGAATTGACAGGGTTTTTATCTGACATCACACAACCACTGACTAATGAGAGGCTGTGGCTACAACAGTGAAATCTGTGGCTGGGAGAATGCACATGAAAACACACTCTTAGAGGCGAGAGAGAGAGAGAGACTGGAGCGAGAATGACCAGAGAGAGAAATAAGAGTGAGACAAGAGAGAGAGAAAAGACAAAGGGACCAGAGAGAGAGAGAGACCAAATAAAGAGACAGAAGAGAGGGACCAGAGAGAGAGAGACAGAAGAGAGGGACCAGAGAGAGAGAGACAGAAGAGAGAGAAACAGGGGAGAGGGACCAGAGAGAGAGAGAGACAGAAGAGAGGGACCAGAGAGAGAGACAAAGGGGACAGGGCCCATGCAGAGAGAGAGACAACACAGAGGGACCAGAGAGAGAGAGAGAGTAGAGAGAAACAAGACAGTGAGACCAGAGAGAGAGACAAGACAGAAGGAACAGAGAGAGAGTAGAGAGAGAGAGACAAGATAGAGAGACCAACATAGACGTCGGAACTAGGGGTGCGGGGGGTGCGGCCGCACCCCCTCCGCGTGTGCCGGGAGCGAGAAGTTATCACTATCCTGCGTTCCTTGCAGCCCAAAACCCGCTCCATGCTGTCGGAGAAGCTCATGAAGCTCTGTCTGGCTAATATCTGTCGCAGCCTCTGAGCGCTCTTTCTCAGCCTTGCGCAGATTAGAGACCTGGCTACACCAGTGACGTGCGGTGGGGGATCAATCATGTGTTCATATGATTATACATCATATAAACCAACAGGACCTACAGGAACAGGAGCGGCTTATACACAATTTGTTTGGCTACAGCAGAATATGATTTAATGTCTGCATTGTTTTCTCATACAAAACGCAAACGTTTGTAAATAGTACAAAGTGTGTTATGGGCCTTACCTTAGGTATTAATGAACAGCACAGACCACTTCAGTTAGGACCAGTTTCATGTTTAAGTCCAGATAATAGTTTGAGCACAGACATGTAATCCTCCATTTGGAAATAAGTTCAATGAGTTTTAAAAAGTAAAAAAACGGGTGTCTCTTCCGTAAACTCCGAGTTTTGCTGCAGCCGACTCCCGGGTAAATCCAATTTCTAAATTCAACCTTACCCTTCACCTCCTTTTCTTATGATTCATATCATCATTGGAAGCAAAACATTACTCTAAGTGCATTTTAAATTATCTTAAAATGTATTATAGGTATGTTAGCCAAACCTGTAGCTGCCCTTAGCAGAAGAAGAACAAGAAAGGAGCTTTCTGATGGAATTGGATGCAGCCAAAGTTTGGGCTCAAAAGCGCCCCCTTGAGGCTTTCCTCACTTACAAGCTGTGGTTGAGCGCGATTAAGACCCATATTTGCTTCAAAAACACAATTTATGAGCCATCCTCTTAAATGTAAACATGTTGATTGTAAATTAAATATTTTTGAACTTTTTAAACTGTGATAAACAGAGAAAACAGTTTGATAGCACCTCACAGGACTCTCCCTGTGAGCTGTTGCTTTTTACGTCTCCCAAGAGAGGCTCGCCTCACAGCACCGCTCTGTCAAATCTGCGATTTCAAGGTATAAATAAATGAAATAAGGCAC